CATTTCATCTGCAGGCTTTATAAATCTGAAGCCTTCACTTGTGCATCTGGATATTAGTAGTAGTAAATCTGTATATGTCATGTAATATATCTTTAAGGTACTGTTCATGCATTAGCATTAGACGATTCTGTGCAGGTTGAAAATGTTTGGTGCATCTCTTGTAGTGTTCTTTCTTTCTGCCAAGATAAATAAAATTATACATGTATATTAAAACTGCTTTTGAATACCTCAACAGAACTTCTGATGGAGATATTAAAGGAATAATTCACAGAAAAAAGAAAAAATAATTTGCTTAAAATGTACAGGTCATCCAAGATGTAAATGAATTTGTTTCTTCATCAGAACAGATTTGGAGAAATTTTGCATTACATCACTTGCTCACCAATGGATCCTCTGCAGTGAATGGGTGCCGTCAGAATGAGACTGATAAATCATCACAGTAACCTATGTGACTCCAGTCAATCAACCAACATCTTGTAAAGTGAAAAAAGCTGTGTTTGTAATGAACAAATCCATCAAGACATTTTTAAACTACAAACTGTAGCTTCTGGCTAAAGATTTGATTCATCTATCTATAATATTGCTTTATCCAGTGAAAAAGCCATCTTATCAGAATCAGAAGAGAAATATGCACAGATCAAGCACTGTTTACAAGTCTAAAACAGTTCTAAACAAATGTGTTTTGATGTGAGAGGGCAAGAGGGAATGCACTTTTTCACTGGAGGAAGTGATTTGGATTATGGACTTGAATTTTAAAGTTACAATTCCTTACTGGTGGATTTGTTTATTACAAACACAAAGCTTTTTAGCTTCACAAGATGTTAATTGATGGACTGGAGGCGTGTGAATTACTTGTGGATTCCTGTGATGTTTTTATCAGCTGTTTGGACTCTCATTCTGACGGCACCCATTCACTGCAGAGGATCCACTGGTGAGCAAGAGATGTAATGCTGAATACATTTCTCTGAATCTGTTCCCATAAAGAATTAAACTCATCTGTATCTTGAATGGCCTGAGGGTGAGTGAATTTTAAGCAAACTTTCATTTTTGGGGGAACTATTCCTTTCAATATTGAGGCTTTTTGACTTCTGATTTTAATAATCAAAGTCAAACTGTTGACCTTTATTTAGAAATAATCATTTAAATGACTATTTAACCAAAATAAATCTGTCATTATTTATCATTTTCTCACTTACATGTTGTTTCAAACCTATGTGACTTTTCCCTTCCATGATACACAAAAGCTGAATGTTAAAAAATGTTTCAGACGCTCTCTTAAAAGTCACACAGTTTGAGGGGGAGTAAATAATGAACAAATTTTCATTTTTTGGCTATATTATTCCTTTAATGTCTCCTGCAGGTTCTTTGTGTCGGTTGATCAATCCGATCTAGTAAAGCGTTGTGGTAAACCTCTAGCAAACTTGCCACTTCTGACCTGGCTGGGCTCGCTACAACAAAATCGGTGCTCCCAGCAGTCTGCAGTCTTCTCCAGATGCCCAGAGCTTGAACAATGTGGCTCATAGGACATTGGGTAGGTAGAGAGAGCAAAGCAGCATGTTCTGTCCCAGAGCAGGAAAACGTCTGAAAGCCTCCCAGGCATCTGAGAAAATGTTGTATTTGAGGAAGACGCGGTGCTCCAGGCTGGTGGGCAGGCTGACATCTCTGCTCATAATGTAGATGCCATCGTTGTGCAGCGTGCAGGTGAGGTTCAAGCCAGACTTTGATGTGTTTTCCTTAAGCTGCAACCATTCTCCCGTCTGCACGTTGTATGACTGTACCGTCAGCATGTCCTCCGTCTGGCTGAGTCTCCGCCGCCCCAGTTCTGCAGGTTCTAGCTCATGTGTGTAGCCACCCACCAGGTAGATGGTGTCCTCCACTGAGAGCATCTGCTGCTTGCGCACATGAGCCGAACAGGAACGGAACACAGACCATGTGTCTGAGGCGGGGCAGTAACGCAGTACATTGGTGTTCCTATCTGTCAGACATTAGGTGAAAAACACAGAGATGACTGAATCATAAAAGATCATTTTAATGTAGTAATTTAAAGAAAATTGCAATTGCTTTTCTTCCCTACTAAGATGTATAAACAGTATCTGAGTTGAACGGCTTCTCAAATGTAGGACCAGACTTTTGTCCATCAAGAACTGACTGAATCGTTGTTGTTTGCTAATGGTTGTGAGTGACAGGTTGATGGAGACGAGGGATTATTGTCCAACATAAATTACATCCTTTAAAATAAGCACAGTATTCCATAACAAATAAAAATCATCATTTTTACATTTTTTGGTGCAATTCTTAAGACGTTTTCACTGTCAGACACACAATATATTGGTACCATATTGGTTATTGGCTATTTAACAGTTATCGGCCATAATATATAATTATATTATTAGACAGAATTTTAATAATCTTTCCCCTGGTTTCACAGACAAGGCTTAAGGCTAGTCCCAGACTAAAATGTAAATCTGAGCTGTTTCAGCTGAAAGAAACTTTCTTAAAATATATCAGTGCCTTTGTTTCGTCTCAAGATGCACAGCAGTAATGTTTTTTCTAAGGCATGTTTATAAAAATTATTTAAATGTCCTAACTGAACTATGGCCTAATCCTAGTCTAAGCCCTGTCTGTGAAACCAGGCCTTTGAGTGTTAGATTATATCAAAAATTATCTAAAAGTAAAAAAAGAGTAAATGAGAAAGCACAATAAAATATATTCAATATTGGCCAATGCTGTTAATTAAATAATAATCATTTAATATATTTTATCATAATTTCCCATATTTTTGCTGCTACCACCTTTGCCATAATCTAATACTCACTTAAAGGTAATTTTGCATTATAATATACAATATATATCTTTTGTAATGTATACTTATTTACAATGTACAATATGTATTGATGTATGGATATGAATATGGATATTCATTTTGTGATTTGATAAAGATTATAACTAATGTTTTGAAGATTAAGTGTTAAATGGAGGAAAATGTAATATAAATGTTAGAATATCTTAAATAAGAGGATCAGATATCCTACGCTAGTTGATACCGATAAATTAGGGAAAAAAGGAGAAAAAATAAAAAAAAATGTTTCACACGTAAGGTAAGTAAAGACAAGCATTTTTTCTTTGGAAAAACACACAGAGATGAATTAACCACAATATAAGACCAAGAACATAAGAAAGTAATTGTTTCTTTGTGTGTGTGTGTGTGTGTGTGTGTGTGTGTGAATGAACCCATCTCTCAGGAAAACACACCTCTAGAGGTATAACCGCCCATGACGTAGATCATGCCCTGACACTCACAGGCAGAGAACTCAGCGAGAGGATCAGGCAGAGATGCCACACACGTCCACCAGTCCTGCTCTGGACTATAACACTCCACCGTACTCAGACAGTGACCTCCAACCGCATACAGCTTCCCACTCACGGCCAGGAGCTTGAAGTTGGATCTGGACACAGAAAGAGCACTTACTTGCACTGGACAAAGCACAATAAATGGACAGATCAAGAGTGAACTGTACCTCTTCTGGTTCAAAGGTGCCACATGGTGCCACTCATTCTTGCAGGGGTTGTAGCAGTGGGCCACAGAGATCTCCTGACTTGTCATTCTGTATCCACCAACAATGAACAGGTAGTTGTCCAGCACAGCAGATCCGTATCCTCGGACATTGATCATGTCCTGAGGAAGATTGTTGGCTAGAGGTTTCCAGCGTTGTTCTAACTCATTATACCTCAACATGGACCAAGGCTCGTCTTGATTTGCCAAGTCCAGACAGGTGTCAGTGAAATCTCCTATTGCAACTAAAGTGGCCGTGCCTTTCATGCGCATATCTCGGACCTGATCCCGCAGAGGAGCTGGCAACATCCTGAACTCCGGCCTGCGCAGCATGGGATGATAATAGCAGCTCATGAATTTCAAACAAGCTTTCCTGAGATCATGCATCCCGTAGACGTCCGAGAGCTTGAAGAGCTCGACGCAGTTCTCCTGCTTGATTTCCGACAGCAGCAGCTTTAAAATGGAAGTGACCTGCAGGAAGGATGCGGTTTCGATCAGGTCCTCCAGAGTCTCGTTGGCCACCTGAACTTTGGAGGTGTTGATGAACTCCAGCACCAGCTCGAGCCCCGGCGCGCTCAGTCCCCGCAGCTGCACCGAGTCCTCCGCTGACTCGCGCATCCCGGAGCTGTACAGCGCGCGGAAGTAATCGCTCTTCTCGATCAGCTTGCTTTTACTCACATTGTACGTTTTGTCATCCATCACGATCTCGATGATCTGCTCGGGGGATGTCATGTCTGCCGTTCTGGGATCAGCGCTTGTTGTTCAGCTGCGATTAGAAGCGCTTGATGCCAAACGCCTATATATGGAAATGTTCGGCGCATTCAGCTCACGTGCATGCATATGGTTCATAAACAAGCACGTCATTTGCAATTGCAGACGCAAACAAACGGACGGTCTAGATGCACTAAAGGAACAATGCTTTATGGATCAATCTGCCTGTTTAGATAGATTTAATTTGGCAGGTTTATACAGTCAGCTAATTTGCACTTGCGATCCATTTGCGCTTATTTCAACGCAGCTCTTATAGAAATCGTTGTAGTAGTTTAAATAATATGGCAGTTTATTGTCGTTTATTACATTCTGCACTTCGGGTTTTCAAATGTAAATCAGTTCCTGTTTTGGTCTTGTGTTTTGTGTTGCGTCCTACTCGCCCCAGTTTTGCGCAGTGGTATGTGTTGTGATACACGTTATATGCAAATGTTAGATTAACGCGTTAGAGTAACATATTTTAGGTTGTATAATAGGTTGTTGATATGCATTATAAATGTGTAATTTAACTGATAGTATTCTATAAAGTGATAATCGGTGGCGCTGATACTGCGAATAATGTGCGCATACTTGAGGCGTTTAATACGCTTTTACTGTACCACCTTTGTATTTCCTCCGGAGAGAAACTTGATGTGGTTTTAGCTTTGTAATTTATTATCGCGTTTATAAATTCTATACTTTATATAATGTAGTTGATCAAATGCATTTAATCATTTGTAGCACTAAAAAAACAAAGTTTCCCTTTAAGGTGTATATTTCATAAATAGGCGGCCGAAATCGTTTACTCTATTGTCTGACAGGGTTTATTTTGTCGACACACACAGTTTAACTCCAATGCTTGGACACAAGAGACATTAATTTTAAGAATCTTTAAGAACATTTATATATTATTCGGTATGGGAGATAAGCCTTTACGAGTGTAAGTGTTGCTTATGGGTTGAAAAGGGGCATATGTGAATGTTAGTTGGCTCGTAATCGGTGATTTACAGTCATAATAACCTGAATAGACGGAAGTGTGGGTGTAAAAGACTCACGTGTTTGTGTGTCCACTGTTTTTATATTTCATTCCCTCTCAGACTCGCATGTGGTGACGTTGAAGGAAGAATAAATGCTTTGTTCAACCGGGTGAACGCCATTCAGAAAAAGAGCGGGCAATTTGATGTGAGTCTGCACGTGTATCTCTTGGTTTAAAGCGACAAGCATAAGAGCGAGCTGTGGGCTTAATTTGGTCATGATGTTTTTCAGTTGCTGCTGTGTGTTGGTGAATTTTTGGGAAATTCTCCTGAGGCTGAAGCAGAATGGGAAGCATACAAATCTGGTGCCAAAAAGGGTAAGGTTGCCTTTTAGGTTTAAATAGATTTTTTTTATCACACCAAGCACTATACTGAATTAATTGGTGTTCTTTCTAAACCCCCAGCACCCATTCACACATACATTCTCGGTGCAGCCAGCCAAGAGACTGTGAAGTATTTCCCAAACTCTGATGGCTGTGAGTTGGCAGAAAACATCACATGTTTGGGTAAGATTGATCTATAACCTTCCATCAGTAGAAGACATAAGTATTTGTGTTGGCTTGTAGTGTATAAATGTATGTATTGTGAGGCATATATATATATATATTATATTTTATGTATTTTTTTTCCGATTGTGGTTCTGGTAGATGTTCTTTATTGCAAATAAGTGAAAATTAATTTTTAAAAAGATAGATCCATAACACAGCCTTGCGTCTTGAAAAAAAATGTCAGCACAGTTTCAAAAAAAGTTTAACCAATATGAAAATGCTAAATTCAAAAACATACGTTTTGCAAGCTTTAATGCATTTATAAAAATAACAAAAGCAGTCAGATGTTACACTCAAAATGTAGCATTTAACTTACAATTTGTAAAGGAGTGTAAAAAATTCTAATACTCCATTGAGTGCATTCAACGTCACATAAGTTTGTAAATGCACAAGCTTTTTTCACGAAATCTGTACTTTTATGTCACTGTTTGGATGTAGTAAAACACTCACAGATGTAGCAAAAACATCTGGGTAATATGTGCGTTTTCTTCCGTCACTGGCCAAAATTCTAACCTTGAAGCTCATGATTAGGCATAAAATAATGTCTTGAGAATCATTCATAAATGTAAAAATCTTTGTGGATGTGGCTCTGGTGATTAATACAAAACTACTTCACCTTGCAAGTGGTTGTCAAAAGCAAAAAGGATATGAAATGCACATCATATTTTGTGACCGAGAACGTGTGACATGCTAGAGCAAAACAGCCACTATTTTTCCAGTCAGCATCCCAAAATTAGTAAGAAACAAGTATTGGATTTCATTCAGCAAATATGGTGCAGGGTTGTGTAATGCTTAAACTTTGGCAACTGTCAACAATCCTGCCAAAAAGAAGGTGTGTGTTTTTTTTTTTGGTAAAGTTTTACTTATTATTGTAATTTTGTGTTTTTGTCATTTTTATTAGTTTTGGTTGTATTAAATGTCTTTTTTTGTTTTTAATTTTAGAAGTTATTTTCTTTTAGTTTCTATATTTAATTTCAGCTCTATTTCAAATAACAAATGATTTTTTTTTTAAAGTTTTAGTTAATAACAGCATTGCTTAAATTTAATATTTAAAAACATTAATTAATTAACACTTAAGTATAATGTTTAGCAAATCTCAGAATTAACATCTATATTTTATACTGCATATTATAATATTATCATAGCTGAATTCACTTGTAGCATTGATTTTAGTTTTTAGCGTTTCATTTTAAAATTTGAGAGGAAATCGAATTTTAATATAAGCCTTAACATGAAACTAATTACTAGAGAGAATGAATTTGTGGTTTAACTGCAAAGTTGATCTTCTCTTATAGTATTTGTATGCATTCAACATTGTCCCGATGAAAAACATGGATCCTGCAGAGTTAGTCAAGCAGCCTCAGGATGTCACAGAAAATCCCTACAGGAAACCTATGAAAGATGGGAAGAAAGAAAAACCGCCACCCTCTATGACAGGCACAGAGGTTTGTGTGGGCAGTTTTTACTTGCATATAGTTAATATGCAGGTGTAGTTTGGGGTCAGTGAGATTTTTTTTTTTTTTTAGTTTTTAAAGAAATCTCTTATGTTTACCAAGACTGTATTTATTTGATCAAAAATAGAGAAATTTTGTGAAAAAATATTAGAATTTAAAATAACTGTTTTCTATTAGAATATATTTTAAAATATACTTATTCCTGTGATGGCACTCCAGTCTTCAGTGTCACATTATCCTTCAGAAATCATTCTGATATGCTGATTTGCTGCTCAAAAAAAGCTTTTATTATTATCAGTTTTTGTGGAAAAGCATGATGCCTTTTTCAGGATTTATTTGATGAAAAGAAAGTTCAAGAGAACAGTATGTATGGCGCTAATAGCCTCAAGCGCAATGCACCAACATATAGCGCTGTTGCATTTTGGGTCCTGGCTTGTGGACCTTTCTTGATTCCTTCCATCCCCCCCCCCCCTCTATTTCTCTCCTGTCTCATATACTGTCCTTTCATAATAAAAAGGCAAATACGCCAAAAAATAAATCTTAAAAACAAGAACAGTATGTATTTGAATGGAAATCTATTATAACATTATTATTGTCTTTACTGTCACTTTACTTGCATACCCTCTGTAACTCTTATCTTAAACCTTTTTTGTCCTATTCTCTCTATCTAACAGAAATTTCCACAGCTCCACAACTTTCCTTTCATATCTTGTTCTGCTCATTATTGTATTGTGCATCCTTGCTTAAAAAAAAAAAAAAATAAATAAATAAAAAAGACTCTTTCGTAGTGTACCTTATTTCAGTGAAAAGATCATTTTAACTTTTTGTTCAGGAGGAACCAGCATCCCAGTTCTTTTTTGATCTGGGCCAGAATAAACCACAGCACCAGCAGCGTCACGGCAGGAAGAGACAAACAGACGGAGACGGACCTAATTATCCCAAACAGCCCCGAAGACCCCGTGAGTCCATTCACCTGCAGTCTTTCCACTCTAATGGAGTGGAAAGACATCAGTCTAATGCATCAAACTGGGCTGTTTTTATTACCTTATGTAGAAATATTCAGCAACATAACATAACATAACATATTTCAAGCCTTGATTTCTTCTCTCCCTACAGCACAGCCCACTGGACCCTGTTGGTTCTGCCTTGCGAGTCCAGAAGTTGAGAAGCACTTGGTCATAAGCATCGGAACACATGTGAGTCCACAAAATATGTATTCTCTATATGTATTCTCTAACCCTAACCCTAATTCTCCCAACGTCACTTTAAAAAGCTTTAAAAATAAAGTATACCAACTGATAAGTTATTGGTCAATTTTGCTGTCTTTTTGCCATTATGCTTTAACATAACTAATCTGTTTCCAGTGTTACATGGCTCTTGCTAAGGGTAGTCTTACTCCTGACCATGTTCTCCTGCTGCCCATCGGACATTACCAGTCAGTGGTGGATTTGGCATCGGAGGTGGTTGAAGAGATGGAAAAATACAAGAGTGCCATCAAGAAGTTCTGTAAAAGCAGAGCCCAGCGGTGCATCATGTTTGAGAGGAACTACCGCAGCCAGCACCTTCAACTACAGGTCCATACTAAATTTTGTCTGATTCATAATGCGATTGTGGCGTCTGCCTGAATGGACTGAACTTTACAGATCCTAGGTCAGTCTAAGCAGCACCACATATATGAAAAAGAAAGTCTGGTAAACTGATAGCAGCGTGAAGGGTGTGAGAGACGCCCAGCCCTTCACCAATCACAGACTTCAACATCATTTCATCAGTTTAAGTCTGAGCGGATAGACAGTCTGTCTGCACTGGCGAATAACCATTTCTGAGGGACGTGTTCCCAGTGATGACCAAATACACGATTTCCCAAAGACCTCCTTATGAGAAAGCAATGCATAATTGGTTTAACGGAAACTTCATTTGTCTTCCTCAGGTAGTGCCGGTGCCCATGGAGAAGTGCAGTACAGATGACATCAAGGAGGCGTTCATGACACAAGCTGAAGAGCAGCAGATAGAACTGATGGAGATTCCAGCTCATACAGACCTCAAACAGGTACATGCCATCTGTGTCCATCTCAAAAATGTGTCAGCTGTGGTCGAGTACACTTTGTTTTTTTGTCTAGGACTCCATGTTCATGTATACTTGTTTATGTTTTATAAATATGCATTTGTTTGTTGTTTTTGTGGTCTAAGCAGTAAAAACACATTCAAAATTCACAAGGCACCTTGAAATCACATCTGAATGTAATCTAAAATAGAATTTAAAAATTAAATACGTTTAAATGTTTTGAAAGGCTAGACTGGATTTCAAGCATTTATTTTTCATTTTTGTCAGTTGGGTTTGTGCTCTCTTGTTAAGTGCTGTCAGATTACACTCATTTTCACTCTCTCTGATATACTGATCTATGTAACATTATCTATGAAATGAATGAGAAGGCAAATCATGAGGAGACCAAGAGGGTCTGTTTTGCACTGTGACTACCTGTAATATCCACGATTATAGATTGCTCCTCCGGGAACGCCCTACTTTTATGTGGAGATGGATACAGGCGAGAAGCTGTTTTATCGCATCAAGAAAAATTTCCCTTTGCAGTTTGGCAGGTAATTGTTACACAGACAGTTCATCACCATGAGTTATAAATATTTGAACGTTTATGACCTGTCTGTAAAAACCTGCTTTGCATAAGCACCTATACATTCTGTGTTTGTGTTTATGTGTTTGTGTGTGTGTTGTGCACTATGTGTTTGGCCTCAGGGAAGTGTTAGCGAGCGAGGCGCTGTTGAACATCCCCATGCGTGCCGACTGGAGAGAGTGCAAATGTACAAAAGAGGAGGAAGAGGATCAGGCCAAACAAATGCGCTCTGACTTTGAGCCCTTCGACTTCGCACTCGACGACTGAGCAACGTTTCAGATACATCGGACTTGATCCCTTCACGTTAATGAACTCAGTCAGTGTGTCAACTGCTTATTTGATCATTTTATGCTTTTTAAATGTTGCACCATATACATTTTCCTCTTCCTTTCATTTGCAAACAGTTAGGAAATGGCTGTTGTCACAGTGGTCTTTCAAAAGATAACTTTTTTTTGGTGATGTATCTCATCTGTTATGTACAATTAAGTGTGGAATTTTGTTGTGATTCATAATTAAAGTCGTTTTTCAGTTTTGTAAAATCTTAATTTCTCTTTTTTATTAACAGTGTGGTGTATGTCCTCTGCTTGTTTTGATGTCCTTTTTGAGATTTTACTGATGTTTGTACTTGTGCTAAAGTACACAAACAACCATGTCATCTCATAGCCTACAAAAGACACTTATGAAACAAAATAGTTATGGAAATTAACTATTTATTATGGATTAATATATAATGTATTATACAATAAATATGATTTACCCTAAATATTAAAGTAATATTTATTACTTTACTGTAAAAGAAAGCAGATATAACCCAAGTGTCATTATTTGCTTACAAAAAAAAGTTAAAAGTTATGACAATTACAAGGTTAGTGCCTTTCAACGGCAGTTACAAAGTTTAGTAAATAATTATAAATAGTAAGAATAATGTGTAACCTAACTACTCACGTATTATTTATAAATGTCACTAAAATGAATTATAAAGTGAAACTTTCAGCGTTTGCTCGAATATTAAGTTGAATTTTCGTCTAGAAATTATGATAACGTAGTAGTTAAAGACGTTTATTGTTTTTTATTTGTTTAATTCACATCACAAACTAATATGTAAAACACTATTTAAATACTTATAAATGGAATACAATTATCTGTACTTAAAATACACAAAATGTATTTACAACGATTCTAGTTTAAGGGGTCGGGGACTTTTGTTATGTTCAGAAAGCGGAAGTGCTGCAGGAGGCACTGAAGTCACGTGAGGAGTTGTTTTCACAACGATGCATTTGTTGCACAGTCCTGACCGTTTTAGCACATTTAAAGCGTAGAAATCTGTGTATCTGTGACAGTTAAAAAGCAAACGCGTTGTTGACATGGATGAGGACGGATTGCCCATCGTGGGATCAGGGGTAGATCTTACAAAGGTAAGTTTAACATTGCAACATCAGCTGCTGCTCACATGATCGTCTGACATAACGAATATAACAGTGATCATTATACTTTCTTTCTTAAGGTTCCAGCCATTCAACAACGAAGAATCGTCGCTTTCCTCAACCAGTTCATCGTCCACACCGTCAGGTTCCTGAACCGATTTGCCACAGTATGTGAGGAGGTATGTTCACCTGTCAACACATCATTCCCCTCTTTACCTTAACTTATATATTTCCTGAAAGTGTCAATGACCAGAAATGTTTTCTTTTCTTTTCTTTTCCAGAAACTAGCAACAGTATCATTACGAATCCAACAGATTGAGACCACACTAAGCATTTTGGAAGCAAAGGTTAATCAAGGCAGGGTTTTTTAGGGGCCTCAGTGGAGTGCTAGGGGTCAGTGGGAGAAAAAGTGTAAATAATTAACAACAAAATAATTATAATTTAATTAATAAAAATAAATGAGTAGGTTATATTATATATATATATATAACATTTAAATGCAGCACTAGCAGTAGTATAGTAATTAAAAATTAGAAAAAAATTAATACAGTAGCTCAATAGAAACCACTATTTTAGGCTTAAACTGGTTAAAAAATATGTTGTATAAATTTGCAGTTAGCTTCTATTCCTGGTTTGGAAGATGTCACAGTGGATGGAGTGAGATCATCTACAGAGACAAACGGTCCTGCTGCGGCTGGCAGTCATGCCACGGGCCCCACTTTAGGTCCCCCTGTTGAGGTAACTTTTATTCATGTCATTGTCATAATTCATTTATCCCACTGCGTATTGAGGTATTTATAGCCATAATGGCAAATATTTGGTGTTAATACACAGTCTTTGTCCATTCAGGCATGTCAGCAAGTACAAGTGGCCCCTCAGGAGCCGAAAGCAGAGGCCCCAGCGGAAAATGTGATGACTGTAGCCAAGGACCCGCGATATGCCAGATACCTGAAAATGGTGCAAGTGGTATGTGATTTTGGTAATGAAAAATGAAAATATGCTGACAAGTTACTCACCCTCAGGCCATCCAAAGTGATGTGCTTGTTTCTTCGTAGGAAAGAGATTTGGAGAAATTTAGCATCACATCACATGCTCATCGATCACTCTGCAGTGAATGGGTGCCGTCAGAATGAGAGGCCAAACAGTTAATAAAAACAAAACAATAATCCACAAGTTCATCAGTTAATTTCTTGTGAAGTGAAAACAGCATGTTTGTAATAAACACATTCATCACTAAGATATTTTAATTTTAATGTATCACTTCTGGGCAGAATAACGGTCCATAATTTATAATAATGCTACCTGCATTACTTAAAAAGTACTTGTGGGTTATTGTGACATTTTTATTAGTTGTTTGGAGTCGGACTCTCTTTCTGACGGCACCCATTCACTGCAGAGCTTCCATTGGTGAGCAAGTCACATAATGCTAAACTTCTCCAAATCTGTTTTGATGAAGAAATAAACTCATCTTCATCTTGGATGTCAATTTTTAGCAAATTTCCATGTTTGGGTGAACATCTTCCTTTTAAAATTAAATCATAACCTGAGTTTCATCATTAACAAACTCACATTTTGTCTAGTCATGACTAACGTGGAAAGTTCATGTATATGCCAATATTTTGCTCCTTCGCTCAGGGTGTTCCAGTCATGGCCATTAAAAATAAGATGGTAATGGAGGGTTTGGACCCTGGTTTGCTAGAGTAAGTGTAAACAACAGTAAAAATATTATGCACTCTTTATACATGTGTATAGTCACTATATGTATGACAATGAAGTGTTTATATTGTAGCTAATAGATTTCTTGCATTTCCCTTTAGTACTCCTGATGCACCTGTTCCGGATGAAGGCAAAAAAGGATTGGAAGAGCAAGATGATGACAGCTCAGGCAGCGAATCATCTTTCAGCGATTGATCAGCTCCGCCCCTCACGGCTAATGAGCGTTTTGTTGGACTTGTGTTGAGCCTTGCTCATCTCAAAGGAGGGTAAATGCACTTGAATGTCCTTACAGAGGACAGACACTTAGTGATGGCACTAAGTTTGTTTTACATCTCAGAGACGGCATACTTGACATCTATAGTGATGGTTTCTGAGGGCACTTGCTCACTAGGTGAGATTGCTAATGGTTGTGATGATAATTGGTCAATTTAAGTCTAAGTGCTACTTTCATGTGAATTGTCATGAATATCTCATCTCTTGCCTGACATGTACATGTTAAATGCCTAGTATGTACATATAATAACAATAAAAAGATGCAGTGAGTGTTTTTATGAAGTAGATTTTTATGAAATCAGCCTTGTAAATCTGTTCATAAATTGAATGTAGCAGAGTAATTTTTTTTTTAAATGTTTGTAAATTTAACTTTAGTTGCAACAATCTTAAACTGACTTTGAATCACAGTAATATCAATAACAAAAATGGCTATGTGTTAGATTTGTTGAGTTTCTAATAAAACTTATTGTGTTGCACAGTCATTACAGATTTGCTTATATTGTCTTTTCCAAATCTAACATGTTGTTATATCTGAATTCACTACCATTCAAAGTATGTGATTGGTAAGATTATTTTATTTTTGAAAAAAGTCTCATGCTCACCAAGGCTGCATTTATTTGGTCAAAAATACAGTAAAACCAGTAATATTGCGAAATACTATTACAATTTTAAATTAGTGTTTTCTATTTGAATGTTTTTTCAAATTTAATTTATTCTTGTGATGTAAAGCTGAATTTACAGCAGCCATTATTCCAGTCTTCAGTGTCACATGATCCTTCAGAAATCTGTGTGTGTGAGCGAATATGAAGTTTAAAAGAACGGCATTTATTTGAAAAAGAAATAGTTTGCAACTGACCCAACCTCTGAATGGTAGTGTATGCTGCTGTTCCTATCATTACATATATTAAAGCAATCACTTTTCTTTAGTCATGCACATCATCATCATGTGTTTTTATTTCACAATTACAAAGTCAGACACTCATTGTGCAAGCATGGACTTTTTTTCAAATTCCACTTCATAAAGTGCAAGATTAAAACACACCTGTTGCTCACTTTCAGCTGCACTGAATTTTCGGAATGATTATGGAGTAAAACAACAAAGCAAGAAGTTCAAACTATAACCAAAGCAAAGATTGATTGACAGTAATGCGAATAAGAATTTGCTCAACTATTCTGTCTTGGCTGATCATAAATGCTTTCTAAAATAAGAATCAATATGAAGCAGCTTTATAAATTGTTTGGCATCAAGTAGTTATATTTCATTTCAAGTACATGTTTATGCCCTTTTTCTAGAACAAGATGCAAGCTACAAAAAGATACACTGCCAATGATTACACAGTACTTTAGCAGATCTTTCAACATGAAAAAGGTAGTAAGTTGTATAAAAATACAATTAAAAAATGCACAAAAACTGTGAACATTGTGTAACGGTATGATGTCAAGGTCATGATGTCAATACTCTATTAAATTAACAGTCAGTTTCAGTGTGAATTGCTGTAAAAAAAAAAAAAAAAAGAAAGAAACGTTAATATGATCTTGGAGGCACTAAAAGGAATCTAAATTAATATAATTCTGATTTGGAACAATGTGAAAAAAGCTGGGGTCAGTTTATTTTTATTTTTTTTAAATGTTTTTGAAAGAAGTCTATTTTGCTTACAAGGGCTGTGTTTATGTTACAATAAAATTGAAAATATTCTAAAATGGCATTTATTACTGAAAATTTTTCTGTATTTTTTGATAAATAGAAAGTTCAAAAGAACAGTATTTACTTGAAACTTATTATAAATGTATTTACTGTCCCTTTTGATTAGTTGATTAGTTTCACTTTCAATTAATCCATCTATGCAGAATAGAAGTATTCGTTTTTAATTAAAAATGACTGACCCCAAACTTTTGAATAATAGTGTAAGTCTAATTTTAAATACTCACCTGGAACTCTCTGATGTATGTTAAAAAGAAGAAGACAAAACTGAAAGTAGTGATCCATTCACATGCGACACTCACTATATGAAGTGTGTAGTCCTGTAGAAGCAGGAAAACAAGACAAGCAAATTTAAACATTCAGCAATACATTTTTGCTACAATTTAAGCACTGGAATGTGTGGTTAGTGACATGAACTGTACCTTATCATTGGTGTCCCAGTGAAGTTGGCTTGTTCCGACAGGAATTGCACAAAAAATTGCTGGAATGAGGTGTTAAAGACAATCTGTTTGATCTGAAATATAAACAGCGCATGTCTTTACATGGAAAACCAGCATGCTGTGATCACAATGCTGGATTTGAATGACCAGCCATGTAAGCAGATGCCAGTTTACACTAGCAAAACTACATTCAGAATGTCAACCAATAGCACATATTGTACCGCTGAGAAAGGATACTGGGTATTACAGCTAGAGCAGCCAGTCCAGCGAAGAACACACGGAAATGGCAAATGGACTTAGAGCATCCATAAGGAAGACCTTGGTACGATATCACACTCTGAATGACAGCATATGTAACCCCAGATAAGAAAAAGAGTAAAGCTCCGAAATCATGGACTGGCATCACCGTCGTCTCCTAGAACACAACAACATACATGAGCACCATTAAAGAGAGAGTTATCATTTACTCCCCTCATTTCATTCCAAACCTGTATGACTTTCTTTCTTCTGTGAAACACGAGGAGATATTTTGTTTTCATCTGTTCAGTGAAAGTCAGTGGGGTCCAAAGCAGTTTAGGATCTCAACGACTTTCATTATATGAATAATAACACACTAGGCCATTTTTTGAAATAGCTTTTTTTGGAATGACAAAGGTAAATAAATTGAGTAAAAAAGTGAGTAAAAAGTTCTTGGTTGAACTAGATATACCTGAAATGTAGCCACCAAACACATGCCGACACAAGAGACGATGCCAAAAGCAAAAGAAACCTTGTTCAGACAAGGGGACACGGCGCCGGTTCTCTCGTGGACTCTCTCCACAAATTTATATTCAGCATACATAGTAGCAAAGGCTGGGAAACAATTGATTTTACTGATTAAAACTACAGTGGAAATTGCTATGCAATACAGTAAAGAATATTCACTCATGCATTTAAACAGAATTTAACTGCTTTAAGCAGGATAAATAATTCACTGAAAATATAGGTTAAAAATGAAGCCATGATGGTTGTTGCACTGATAACCTGTGATTTGGCATTAAGTTTCATTTCTGCAGTTGTTTGAGGTTTTAGTTGTGGTGCTGTATTATAACACACTGAACTCCAGCTGTGTCACGGATGGGAAAAAATATGTTTTCGTTTTCAGCAGAAAGAGAAGTGAGACCCGAATGAGTGCTATTCCATTGTTACTAAAGAAAAGTACACTCTAGACATTCCCACTGCTTTCCTCTCACATGTCAAAACCAAGCCGTTTGCGGCTGACTTCACGTTGTGCAATTTCCCATAGGTTGTGACACACAGACAGCCTAATCGTAAGGAGTTTCCTGAAGCTGCTGGTGGGGGATTTGCACTTTCTGAAGTATGAGCTGGAAATCAAATCAAATCAAACTGAAATCAAATGACTGGTTGTTAGTCATACCTGCAAAGGCATTGATTGTCGACATGAATCCAAACACACAGCTCTCAGGTGGAGTGGCCCCTGTATCACTTTTCAGAGACATTCACAGAAATAATTAAAAAGAACATTCATATTTGTGAAGCAATTCAGAAACATTTAATCATAAACTTGCAATATTCTATATTTAAACACACACACAAGTTCCACAGTCTACTGAATGACAATAAAAGTGAAGCCTCACCATTACAATACATTACTATGACTTTGACTTAAAAATATGTATTATTAATTAGTATTGGGTGTTATCATTGTTATATATATAATATTACATAGGCTATGACACTATTTAATATACACATTATATGATATGATATTATAGTCTTTAAAGGGTTTGTCCTGTTTCCTTCACTGAATACTGATTTTGAACTCGAGCCAACATTCAACTTTTGAGTAGAAAACGAAACTAAACGAACTGTCTGCAAAACCTTTATTCAGATTCTTAAATCTAGCAGCTGTATATAAATGCCTTAAACATAGTCTTGTTACTATATTATAACTTTATAAGCTATTTCTGGTTTATGTTATTTTAAAAGTTGTGAATTCGTTCAGTCCAGATGTGTAGCCAAACTAAAGTCAAGCTGAAGATAAAAAGACGAGTGACATACCTAATGTAAGGAAGGATAACATCAACATCTCGTCGAACTAAAGCGATGATGTAAGATATAATGAACGTACTCGATGACCAGATTACCAGAAAAGTAGGTAAAAAGCACATTCCTTGCATGAACCAAAACATCTCTCCTGAGGGCTGGGTGTAAGCGGTGCATCACCATGCACGGAGACAAAAGCAAAGTGGACAGCAGGGATTAGACATTAAGACACAGATACTTCACTGAACACATACTGTATGAACAATAACTCGACGTTTATAACTCTATCTATAGTGTCACGTGTTCACTGGGAATCTTTCTCTTCCTCATTGTTTTAACCATATACTATTACCACCAGCACATGTGAACAACGCACAGAGCCTTTCTTTCTTTCGTTCTTTCTTTCTTTCACTGCATAATTACATTTTGGATAAATCTCTCTGTTCCCTTTACATTTTTTTACATGCATGAAAAAAAACTTTGTCATGATAAGTAATGAATTGCATATCAGCTATTTGTCAGCTATTTGCAGATGAATTTTGAAAGCAGGCATTACAGTATTTTTGACCAAGATGTCTTTAAATGGCTACTAAACACAGAAAAGAAAAGAGAGCGTTAAATTATTATTATGCCTACTTTCTGTTCACAACACAACACACACAATTTTAAACAGTTTTATAAATGTTTATATATATTTTTTAAAACACTTGTTTTTAAATAATATATGTTTAAAATTTGTATAAAATATTAAATGGATTGTTAAATAAGCATTCTCTCCGATGGTGTTTGATAATACATATACCTACACACACACACACACACACACACACATATATATATATATATATATATATATATATGAGGATGAGCACTCATGGTTCAATTTTCACTAAAACATGGATTGTTAAATAAGCATTCTCTCCGATGGTGTTTGATAATACATATACCTACACACACACACACACACACACACACATATATATATATATATATATATATATGAGGATGAGCACTCATGGTTCAATTTCACAAAAGTCACTAAAACTATTTTGCATATCTAAATATACATTTAAATCGTATGTTATAAATGACATACGTTTTAAATAATTTATTCAAATGTAATTGTTAATTGAATTTATCTAAGTTTTATAATATTTCATATAATTATTTATAATGCAATTTAAATGTAGGCCTATTATTTTAATTCATAAAGTGATCGTCCTCCTAATCAATAGAGGGCGGCAGCGAGTCTGTCGTGTGCATAGATCTACTGGAACTGAGCGTCGTATCATCATCTGATCACTACCAATGAGGAACTACAGCGTTTGATTGTTGAGCATGCGATCATGTGACAGTATGTTTTAGTGTAATGAAGCTATTTTTAATTTCACCAAAGGAAACATGTGTCCTCATTAATTGTTTATGGAGGAGGAGATGTTGATGGCCGGGGAGAGTCATGTTGATCATTAATTCGGTGCTTAAACTGCTGCAGCGGCAGACATACACCTGTCTGTCTCATCGCTATGGACTGTACCTGTGCTTCGGAGGACTAGTCCTCATGATAGTGTCTGCTTTTCAGTTTGGAGAGGTATGTACACTAACTAGGGTACAATTCCGAAATATACTGTCTTCATGAGATTCGCATTCAGGCCATGCATGTATCCTCTTATCGTTGCATACTGTGTCAATCACTGATTACTGATCAAAGCTGATTGTGCAATCTGACTCTGACCTGTTACATAGTGGTTGCAAATAGACACTTTTAGTAAGGGTTTGGTGTTGTGTATTAACTGGCTGGCTGGTTTGGTTTGGTTTGGTTTGCAGGTTGTGGTAGAGTGGAGTCGAGATCAGTACCATGTTTTGTTTGATTCCTACAGAGATAATGTTGCAGGAAAGTCCTTTCAGACGAGGTGAGCAACAGATCAATGAAACCAGCTTCATTCATGCACAGTAATAAAGTTTTGTGTTAACTGATCACTTTTTAAGGGGCACAGTTATCTCATGCTTATTATCTGAGAATGACTCAAATTCAGCTGATATGTCAGCCTGTCATTACTGTGATTTTAATTTTTTTTAAATGCATGATTTTAAAATATACATCTTTTCATATATATGTTCCTGGAGTCACGTACCTGCCTTGCTTCATATGCTTGTATAATTCCAGGCTTTGCCTACCGATGCCCATTGATGTGGTTTACACCTGGGTAAATGGCACAGACACAGACCTGCTGAAGGATCTTCGTGCTGTGAGACAGCAGCTGGAAGACGAACAGAAGGCCTTGAGGTACCCCAGCCATAAAACACACACACACACACACACACACACACAACGTTAGTGTAGTATTTATTTGTGACCCTGGACAAAACCAGTCATAAGAGTGCATTTCTAGAAATGGACTTTTTTACATATTCTGAAAGCTGAATAAATAAGCTTTCCTTTGATGTATGGTTTGTTAGCATAGGACGATATTTGGCCGAGATTTTAAAGTTGCCCAAATGAAGTTCTTAGCAATGCATATTACTCACTAAAAATTAAGTTTTGATATATTTACAGTAGGAAATGTAAAAAATATCTTCATGGAACATGATCTTTACTTAATATCCTAATGATTTTTGGCATAAAAGAAAAATCGATAAGTTTGACTCATACAATGTTTTTTTGGCTATTGCTACAAATATACCCCAGCGACTTAAGACTGCTTTTGTGCTCCAGGGTCACATTTATCCTCATCGGAGGAGAGATTGGGATTGAGGGAAAATTTGATGGTACTTGTGTGTAACCGCTTGAAAGGAAAATAAATCATAATGTGTCCTTTTTTTTACTTTAAAACAGTATTATTACTATTACTACTATTACTGCAACTATTGATTTATTTTGGTATTTTATTCTTATTTTATTCAAAACAATGTATTTTGAATTACACATGGTTCACAATATCCTGCATGGTGGGAATATGATGGAATCTATTTAACCATTTGATTAATGTTAATAAATCATAAAGGAAATAAAAACCTTTTGTTTTTACTTTAGAAAATGATTACAACTACTACTACTACTACTATTAATTTATTTTATTTGTATTTTATTCAAAACAATGTATTTTGAATTACACCTTGTTTATAACATTCTGAATGGTGGAAATTTGATTGTATTTATTTAACCATTTTGATTACTGGGTAAATAAATCTTAAAAGAGATAAAAATCATAATGTTTGTTTTTGCTTTATAACAGAATAATTGTTATTACTACTACTACTATTATTATTATACATTTATTTTATTGTTATTTTATTCAAAGCATTGTATTTTGAATTGCACATGGTTCTAAACATTCTGCATGACAATGGATTATTAAATAATAAAGGAAACAATATATATTGTTTCTTTTTACTTTAGATCAGGATTATTATTATCATCATTATTATTATTTCTACTACTGCTACTACTACCACCACTACTACTAATCATAGTACTGTATTCATTTATTTTATTTTGTTCAAAACAATGTATTTTGAATGACATGCTTTGCCACATTCTGCATGGTGTTAATTTGATGGTATTAATTTAATTGTTTGATAAATTGATTATTAAATCATAAAGAAAAAAAATCCTAATTTTAAATTTTATTTATTTATTTATTTTTTACTTCTTGAACAGGATTACTACTATCACAAATTTATTTTATTTAGTATTTTCTTTTGTTATTTTATTCAAAATAACATATTTTTAATTGCACACCTGTCTATTGCAAAAAAAAAAAAGATTATATTGAATTTTGAGTAAGGGTAAAAGGTTTAACATCTCATGGCTTTTAGAGATTTTTGCACTGTATCCACATGCATCCAAAGCTAATCAAATAAAAATGCAGATATAATAGTTGTAGGTGCAGTTTCTATTCAGAATCTATTGTGTCCTGTATTTTAGTATGTTTAGTATGGTGGGACACACCCATCTTTATTTGGCAGTGCTGACAGTACTGTTAATGTCAGATTAGCAAAAGTTGCTTAATGATGTTTAAAAGGGTTTTATGTGCTGTTTTTTAGGGAGCGTCTTGGAAAAAATGCATCTGAAATAACTGAAGCTCCTAAGGGAAGGTGAGTGTTTTAAATAAGTAAATAAGCTAAAGTTCATTTCATTCTTATTCTATTCATATGTCTGCAGGACATGAAGCAAACTAAATATTGTGCAGTTTATACATTTCCTGTTTCGTAGCAACCAGGGCTTTTGTCACAGCCACAGTTGTTTTTTTATTCCTGTGTCAAAAGCAGCTGCTGCACTGCAGAATAATAGTGTGAATGGCTGTATCACTCATAAAGATTAGCTCTAGATCAGGGGTTTTCAAACTGGGGTCCGTGACGCAAAGCCAGGCGGTCCGCAAAATAATTTGCTATACCGTATTTTCCGGACTGCAACTCGCGTTTTTTATCTTCTGAAACATGCTATGATTTATATTCCAAAGTGACTTATATAATGCATTAATGTCAAATAAGCAAAGCGTAAAAACTTAAAAGCGGGCACTTCAAGGTTTATATAGCTAAATATATTTCTCATGTCTGTCTACTGACAAGTAGACAGTATGGCAGAGTTTTTCTTCATTTTAGTCAGAAGTTCACAGAGACCAAGACGGCAAGCGCATTTTGTTTTTCTTTATTTGCAAAAGCACAACGTTTCACTGTCATTTTGAAGGTGCACAAATAAAAATAGACCGTTTTGAATGATGTCTTGCTCTTATCTGACGGATATCACATTTTCCCGCTGATATAAGGAATCCAAAGTGTTCGCGCTGGCGCCTCCCGCGCGCACACAACATATCAGTTCTAGCTAGCATTGCAACTTGGCATCACAGCCTCATCACCTGCAAACTAAATGAGACAACTAAACATACTAAAGGTATATTTAATTGTTTGATAAATTGATTATTAAATCATAAAGAAAAAAAATCCTAATTTTAAATTTTATTTATTTATTTATTTTTTACTTCTTGAACAGGATTACTACTATCACAAATTTATTTTATTTAGTATTTTCTTTTGTTATTTTATTCAAAATAACATATTTTTAATTGCACACCTGTCTATTGCAAAAAAAAAAAGATTATATTGAATTTTGAGTAAGGGTAAAAGGTTTAACATCTCATGGCTTTTAGAGATTTTTGCACTGTATCCACATGCATCCAAAGCTAATCAAATAAAAATGCAGATATAATAGTTGTAGGTGCAGTTTCTATTCAGAATCTATTGTGTCCTGTATTTTAGTATGTTTAGTATGGTGGGACACACCCATCTTTATTTGGCAGTGCTGACAGTACTGTTAATGTCAGATTAGCAAAAGTTGCTTAATGATGTTTAAAAGGGTTTTATGTGCTGTTTTTTAGGGAGCGTCTTGGAAAAAATGCATCTGAAATAACTGAAGCTCCTAAGGGAAGGTGAGTGTTTTAAATAAGTAAATAAGCTAAAGTTCATTTCATTCCTATTCTATTCATATGTCTGCAGGACATGAAGCAAACTAAATATTGTGCAGTTTATACATTTCCTGTTTCGTAGCAACCAGGGCTTTTGTCACAGCCACAGCCACCAGAGTTTTCCTGTGTCAAAAGCAGCTGCTGCACTGCAGAATAATAGTGTGAATGGCTGTATCACTCATAAAGATTAGCTCTAGATCAGGGGTTTTCAAACTGGGGTCCGTGACGCAAAGCCAGGCGGTCCGCAAAATAATTTGCTATACCGTATTTTCCGGACTGCAACTCGCGTTTTTTATCTTCTGAAACGTGCTATGATTTATATTCCAAAGTGACTTATATAATGCATTAATGTCAAATAAGCAAAGCGTAAAAACTTAAAAGCGGGCACTTCAAGGTTTATATAGCTAAATATATTTCTCATGTCTGTCTACTGACAAGTAGACAGTATGGCAGAGTTTTTCTTCATTTTAGTCAGAAGTTCACAGAGACCAAGACGGCAAGCGCATTTTGTTTTTCTTTATTTGCAAAAGCACAACGTTTCACTGTCATTTTGAAGGTGCACAAATAAAAATAGACCGTTTTGAATGATGTCTTGCTCTTATCTGACGGATATCACATTTTCCCGCTGATATAAGCAATCCAAAGTGTTCGCGCTGGCGCCTCCCGCCATATCAGTTCTAGCTAGCATTGCAACTTGGCATCACAGCCTCATCACCAGCAAACTAAATGAGACAACTAAACATACTAAAGGTATTTGGTGAGTCAATTTAACTTGTCTGTTGTACAATATGTAGGTTTTGTCGGTCCACGTGAGCATGCCGTGGTGTTTTTCCAAACACTTTTTTGCATATGTGAAGGATGCTGTTAGTAGATATTCGGACATGAGAGAAGTACAAAGCCTTCTTTACGTAATAAGTAGCCTGATTAGCAACCAAATGTTAGAGTGCGTAACGATTCACTCATGCCGAATGAGAGGTTTGCGAGCCCACTGTGTGGTTAAAGTTTTTTAAATGTTCAAAATTGTTTTAATTTTTTTTTTATAAAACGCATTTTCACCTAAGTTATCATACACATACGCAACAAATGCTTAGCATATTTAAACATTCTCATTACTCAGTAATTCATTATAGGCTACTGGGTGTTGGTTTTTTCTAGAGTAGGTTATACTCCGTTCGATGGTGCGTTTGATGAATTCACTACACAAAATGTATCTTGCGAAGTGAAATGCATGCACTTACCAACCAAATAATACACACATTCTTTCTATGAGGGTTGCGCTTCACTAAATACAATTATTTAATAAATACCTGTTTACAAAAAGCACTTCGCGCGTACCCAGGACAAAGTTTGAGTTACATGTAATATCTGATGGAGCGCAAAGCCACGATCACTATATCTATAATCATGCAGAGCAAGCCCGCTGTAAGCCGAGAGATTCGTGCTGGCGCCCTCTCGTATTACAATAATGCACTTTCGACATTTGCCATTTAAAATAATGCCAAAAGCTGCCTCAAACTGAAATATAAATACGAGAATAAAGTTGTAAAAGCTGCAATCCATTTCTTATTGGTTAAAATAAGGAAGAATATCTTGTGTTTTTCACGAGCACCTAACAGGATCGGCGCTTATGGCATTTAAAATAAATGTTGTTTGTAATGATCGGTACTATAATTACATTTTTATTAATATACATATATATTCATTTATTTTTGTTCTGTTATGAATGTCACAAAATTTAAAATATTTTATTTGTTTGCTTGTTTCATTTCTTTGCTTTGTACTTGCTTGCTTTTGTTTGTTCTTTCTCTTGTTTATATTTTCTTTAGTTTGTTTCTTTTCTCTTTGCTTTAATTTGTTTCTTTCACTCTTACCTTCTTGATTGCTTTTGTTTGCCTTTGCTTGTTTTTGTTCTTCCTTGATTTTGTTTGTATATGCTGTTGTTTGTTCTTGTGTTCATTCTTGGTTAGGGTACTTTCATTTATTCTTGATTGCATCTCGTTGTTCTTGCTTTTGTTTGTTTCTTTTGTTTGATTTTGCTTGATTTCAACCACTTTTGTTTGCTTTCATTCATTCTTGCTTTTGTTCAACTTTGCTTGTTTTAGTCTATGCATTCTTTAATTTATTCTTGCTTCCAAAAGGTTGTTCTTGCTTTTTGTTTGTTTCTTATGTTTGTCTTTGTTTAGTTTAGTTTTTTCTTGTCTGACTTTTTAATTAGTTTGTTTTCATTCACTTTATTTTGCTTTTGTTTGCATTTGTTTGTGTCTTATGTTTGTCTTTGTTTAGTTTAGTTTTTTCTTGTCTGTCTTTTTAATTAGTTTGTTTTCATTCACTTTATTTTGCTTTTGTTCAGCTTTGCTTGTTTTAGTTTGTTCTTTAATAATTTTTTTTTTTTAATCTTGCTTGCAAAGGTTTGTTTTTGCTTTTGTTTGTTCCATTTGTTGTTTCTTGATTTTTTTTGTGTGTGTTTGTATTCTTACTTGGCTTATTTAGTTTTTGCTTGATTTCATGCTTGCTTGCTTTCATTCATGCTGCTTTCTTTTGTTCTTGTATTTGTTTGCTTTTTTACTTGCATACCCTCTGTAACTCTTATCTTAAACCTTTTTTGTCCTATTCTCTCTATCTAACAGAAATTTCCACAGCTCCACAACTTTCCTTTCATATCTTGTTCTGCTCATTATTGTATTCCAATCGGAACGATGGGGGAGTCTTCTGTAGGGTTTTTTTTTTTTTGTATTGTATGTGTCTTTAATCCAAATGTGGGTCACACAAGGTAATATAGCAAAGGATGAAGCTGAGGAACAGATAAAGAAAGGGAGAGAGAGAGTGAGCGAGAAGTTGAGTGCTGAGAGATGACTTGTATTTATAGTGTGTGCTGCAATGTTGATGAAAGCTCTCCCTTGACCTCTGTCCAATGCACACACTGTTACACAAGAAATACTGCCAGTGAAGTGTGTGTGGGGAATCTACTTAGTTATAGGTTGGGGACAAATTTGTCACCAGAAGTAAGCTAAATCTAGCAAATTGTCCCTTTGGGGATGTCCTCAATTGGAAAATCTATTAATAAATAATGTCTTGGTTATAAATACGCAGACATTTTTGTTTTAGGTTTTTGGTTCAGAATAGTTTGTTGTAATAAAATATTAACTAATTACGTCATTAACTAATTAAGCTTTAACCATTGATTTAGCCTGTTGTCTATATTGTACATAAAATATGCATCTATAAACACAATTTTTTATTGAACTATTTGGGTTCTGCAGGTTGTTTTTTCTTAATGTGATGATGGCAGTGTCAGTACACTTCTGAAGAAGGCCTTTTCTTTCAGGCAAAGCAGTGATGGTGTTCCTGGAAGCACATTTTCTGTGTAAATGCTATTGATAGATAACTATTTTGACTCTCTGCAGTCTTCTTTTGGCATTAACTGGAGGAATGGGAACGGTAACAATGAAGACCCTCTGCTTGTAAACAGCTTTGTGACAAGTGATAAAACTTGTTTTGAGGGAAACCTGATCGCAAACTCATCATCGCAGGAGTTTGGCTGCATGCTGGCAGTCACATGGCTGTGGTGTGTCTCTAGAACCTTCTGATAGAGGAAGTTAGAAATGATGGGAAAATTAACATCATTCAAAAGAGTAAAAGTAGTTCTATGCAGTTTACTACGTGTGTGTGTGTGTGTGTATTATTACTGTAGATTTAGCAGTGGCATGGGAATGATTTGAAAAGGGCACAGATTGTGGAGCTGTTATAAGCAGCAATTAAAAAAGTAAAAAAGCAAATAAGCAGCTTTGCTTATTTGCTTAAATAGTCTGTGCTGCTGAGTGACTGTTTGTATATGTATTTATCTCAGTTGCAGCTGTACTCGGAGGCCAGTATTGCTCTTCTCCACCTAAACACAGCGCAGGATTTTACTGACCTCACCCAGCAGGCCAAGAAGAACCTGACTTTGGAAGGAAAAGAGCTCACAGTCAGTCCGGCATACCTGTTCTGGGACCTTAGCGCCATCTCACAGGTGCACATTTTACTGTAATTTCACACAGAAATATAAGCCAATGTGTGCTCGATAAGCGTTCACTTGACTAAAAAAAATATGAATAGATAACTTCATAATAAGCAGTCTTCCTCTTTTTCAGTCTAAACAGGATGAGGATGTTTCTGCCAGTCGCTTTGAAGACAATGAGGAGCTGCGTTATTCACTACGTTCTATTGAAAAACATGCACCATGGGTGCGGCACATCTTTATCATAACCAATGGACAGATACCGTCTTGGCTAAACCTAGATAACCCACGTGTTTCAGTGGTTACTCACCAGGTGAGCTTTGCAAACCCTTGGATGACCAGTAAAGACTGCTTACATTTCTAAACGATCTCCAAAAGGGACGGCCTTGTTTATTAGCGTGTGCTGTAATGCATTCTATTACTAATATTGGGTGTATTTATGTAAAACCTACAGTAATTGACAAAGTCTTGTTGTTGTCGTTTTGTGTTTGTCTCTCAGGACATTTTTCAGAACCAGACCCACCTGCCTTCATTCAGTTCTCCTGCCATAGAGACTCACATTCACCGAATCCCAGGACTCTCTCAAAAGTTCATCTACCTCAATGATGATGTCATGTTTGGCAAGGATGTATGGCCTGATGACTTCTACAGCCACTCTAAAGGTCAAAAGGTCAGAAAGACTGCCTATCTGTCTCTGTAAGAAAGACTGTTTATTTGAACAGCATGTCTAACAGTTTATGCACATCTGAAGTAAAATGTACATTTAAAAGGGACATTTTGCATACATACAAAAGATCTATGAATGCATACTCTGCTGTTAAAAATATTTGGGTTGTTGTAAAGAAATGATTACTGTTATTCAAAAGAAATGCATTGAATTGATCAAAAGGGGCAGTAAAGACCCTTTACGTTGTTAAAGAAAAATATAATGTATGTTCTTTTGAACTTTTTATTCATAAAAGGGAAAATCCTGAAACAAATGTATCATGGATTTCACAAAAAGCAGCACAACTGTTTTAAACATTAATAATAATTAGAAATGTTTCTTGAGAAGCAAGTGATCTTATTAGAATGATTTCAGAAGGGTTATGTGATACTAAAGAGTATGGGTCACCATACTTGGCCACATGTCACGTCACTTTTTTAAAGAAAAATATAATGTATGTTCTTTTGAACTGGACTAATGCTGCTGAAAATTCAGCTTTGCATCACAGGAATAAATTATATTTAAAAATATTATTAAAGTAGAGACCAGTTTTGGTTTTGTAGTATTGGTCAACTCATTTGGCCTTGATAATCACCTGAGATGTTTTCTCTGTTCACAGGTGTATCTCACCTGGCCTGTACCAAACTGTGCTGAGGGCTGCCCAGGCTCCTGGATCAAAGACGGCTACTGTGACAAGGCCTGTAACAACTCTGCATGTGATTGGGATGGAGGAGACTGTCAAGGTACTTTGACACCGTCATTTCACCCCAGAATTAAAATTCTGTCATTATTCACTCACCCTCAGGTTTAATTGAACCAATTGCATGTTTCTGATCCCATCTTTATATCTGTTTCATAATTTCTTGATTTGTCCTTGCAGGCACTGCAGGCAGCAGTCGTTTTGGAGGAGTGGGCGGTGCTGTGATTGGAGGTGGGCAGCCTTGGCAGTTCGGCGGTGGTGGTCTCGGAGGATTGGGGGGCGTGTCCTTCTGTAACCAAGGCTGTGCTAACTCTTGGTTGGCTGATAAATTCTGTGACCAGGCGTGCAACGTTCTTGCATGTGGGTTCGATGTCGGTGACTGCGGACAAGGTGAGTTTTGACCAGTTGTTCTCAACAGTTTTGACCTAAAGTCCCTCCACTCTCTAACACAACAGGCCCACACACATATATATATATATAATATGAACAGAACTATCAAAGGCGTAGAATTTAGTAACTTTCAGAATAAACGTTGGTCCAATTAATTTTTTATTATTAAAAAAGTGATGTGCAGTGCCATTAAGAAGACTCCCCACTTTAGTTGACATGAAATTGCTGTCAAACAAATGTAATGGGCTGTTTTGTTCCCACCAATGTCAAAATCAAAGCCACACCCCTGATCAGAACAAATTTAACTAAATTAAAAGAATAAAAGACTGATGCGGTGTTTACACACTTTGTACGAGGCTGGACATATGACCCTACATATCTTTTTCATTAAAATGAATAGCATTGGACAGGTTCACTGTGTATTTTTGAACTGTTCTGGATATGTGGCAGACTTCATTTGCGAGCCTTTAATGTTGAACTCAATGTTTCCTGGCCCCCTGGTTGACAACCACTTGAGTGTTTCTTAAGTCTAGTTGGAATTGATTGAACTCATTTTCTGTTTGTTTGTGCATTTATAAGATAACTTCGACCAATTGCACCGTGTCGTCCTTCGGAGGAACCAAACGCTTTACACCCTGCCTCAGGGAGAGCTCCGACCGTGTTTTAGCTTCTCAGGCCTGGCTAACCGCGTGTCCGAGGCACAGGTCGCTGATAACCCAGCGCTCCGTCACACTTCTGTCGCCAACAAATGGAAGACCATCCACCTGCTGCTGCTGCCCAGACACAATGCCACTCAGATCCACTACAACATCACCTTTCAGAGTGCCAATAACCACGACTTCACCATGACTTTCACTGTAGCCGTGGATACCAGAGAGCTCCCCAAATCAAACGTATCCGATCCGGTGCAGGAGAAAGACGAGGAGCCCAAACTGACCGTGGTGACCCCAGAACCGGTAGTCATGTTTGAAAAGGTTCCCAAAGAAAAACAAGGCCCAAGAGTTAGAGAGAAAGCCCATGGCGGTGTAGAGATTGTACAGGTGCCTGCGTTAAATGAATCTCTTTTGCCTGAGGAAGTGAAGCTTGAGTTACAGAAGCTGAACGAGAAGCTAATATTAGGTGACATTACTATTAAAGGCTTTAATTTGACCAAAGCAGTGCTGCTGGGGCCGTACAAAGACAAAGCTAAGCTTTTACTAAACAATAAAGACTCTGAAAAACAAGACCAGGACATACAAGCAAAACACTCGAATGAAGACCCGAAGCCTCCTGTAATCAGTCAACATCAGGATGAAAGAGCAGTGAGGGTGAAACGAGCAAATGAAGATGAGGAAAGAAACAAAAACTCTGAATTGGAACCAGGTGTTGCTCTGTCTCTTGTCCCAGTTCAGATTGATGGTGTTACACCGAAGGCTCAATCAAGATTGTTTGGCATAGAGAAGCCCCTCGCATCTAAGCTTCTCAGCACCCTGATGGGGAACATGTCTAAAGAGAGAGATTCAGAAAATGAAGCCCACCTCCGCGGGCGGCCAGTGGGTCGTAAACTCCAGTATTACACCTCCAGCTTGGACCGGGGTTTCCTTCCATGGGAGAAGAGGAAGTTCTTTCAGGATCTGCTGGAGGTGAGACATGGTTCTACAACTTTTTTTTTAACCGAAGGCCTCCCATACATATACACACATACAGTGGGTATAAAAGTCTACACAACCTTGTAAAAATGTCAGCTTTTGAGATGTAAAATTTTTTTTTAAAGTAATTTACCACCTTTAATGTAATATTTTAGCCAAAACATGAATGCTGTTTAATTTAAAACTGGGAATGTTGATAGAGGTAAAAAAAAATAAAAATCTGAAGTGGCAAGATCCATATGTTCTTTAAAAAAAGCAAAACAACTTATTTAGGGGAAAATACATTTTAAGTCAGTTAAACTTAATATTATACATTAATAAAATATATTATTCTTAAAACTAGATATTGAAGAGAAAAATAGTTTAATCTAATTTTGTTGTTTTCCATTTGAATTATGTTAAAGTTAATATTTATATTTATAAAGTTAATATTTCTATTAAATATAAATATTATTAATATAAATGTTAATATTAGTAGATAGATAGATAGGTAATTATATATATATATATATATTTTTTTTTGTTATATAAATGGATCAGACAAATAAATAATAAATAAATAAATATTGTTATTATTATAATTATTTATTAATATCATCCTGCAGTGCCATTGGAAGTTTTCTGTGGCCCCCTTGTGGGTTTTGGCCTCCTATTTGAGAACCACTGTTCTAGAGTAAACAAAAAGCCAATTGGTTCTTGTAACTGAAGCCACATTGAGTATTGCAATCTCTCCTGATCAGTGTATGTGTATCTTTGTATGTGTCTTTTTTTGCATCACAGGAAGAGGAGCGTCTACAGAGTGAACTGCAGTATGCAGCTGACGGGTCGGCCACTGGACGCAGGTTGCGGGACACTTTTGCTGATTCACTCCGCTATGTCAACAGACTCTTGAATGCTCAATTCGGCTTCACTTCCCGCAAAGTGCCCGCCCACATGCCTCACATGATTGACAGACTCATCATGCAGGAACTACAGGACACGTAAGAGTCCCAACACATACACACAGACTTATGTATCAATTTAATGTTAGTCTATGGATACAAAATTTTGGCCACCGAAATTCAGATGTCTTCAAAAGTTCCTTGAGTATGAAAGTCAATTAATATATCCTTTTTTTTTTTGTCTTGATATCTTGCTCCTTCAGCTTCCCTCAGGAGTTTGATAAGACCTCGTCCCACCGTGTGCGTCACTCAGAGGACATGCAGTTTGCATTTTCTTATTTCTACTTCTTGATGAGTGCGGTGCAGCAGCTCAATATATCTGAAGTGTTTGACGAAATTGACACGGACCACTCTGGCGTGCTCTCTGATCGTGAGATTCGCACGTTGGCCACACGTGTCCATGAACTCCCCTTAAGCCTTCAGGTACACACCACTCTTCTGCCACAGCATGGAGAAAATGACAAGATTTTTACATTAGAAAAAAATATTTAATTTAAAATGTAGTGCTTTAATATAGTCTAGTTATTTTTTTAAATGTAAATTTAATTTTAAATGTTGTCTATTTTATTTAAATGTAGTTTATTTTAATTTGAAATTCAGTATAATTTAAAATGTAGTTACATTTAATTTTATATAGTTAATATATTTTTTATTTCAAATGTAGTTGTTTAATGTAATATGTAGTCTAATTTGTTTGAATTTAATACGTGTTTTAGTTTAATTTGAAATAGTCAAATATATTTTAATTTAATGTAGTCTAATTTGTTATTAAATTTGTCTAGTTTATTTCCTTTTAAAATGTTATTTAAATACATTTATATCATTACATTTATATGAAATATATATAAAAAAAATAAATAAATAAAAATTAAACACTTAACAATAAAGCAGGAAAATATGTACAAAACAGAACTTCAGGAAGGGGTTTTGTAAAAGTGAACACAAGGCATATATAGCTCTTTTTTTTGTCACCACATGATTGTCTGTCTTACCCATGTGTTGAGGAAAGGCACGTCTGTTTATTTGACTCTAAACAGGATTTGACCAGTCTGGAGCAGATGCTTATAAACTGCTCAAAGGCTCTTCCATCCAACCTCACGCAACTCCATACTGTCAGCCCCACCCAGGAGGCCTATTACGACCCCAGCATGGTGAGAGCCACTGTATACACACGTATACAAGTCAAATATTAGACTATAAAATCTCACAAAACATCTGTTAAGTGATCAACACCTTGTTAGGCTGTAGGCTATAAAATTGTCATGGTTGGCAGAGTCTTGTATTATCAGCTTATTTATTTATAAAATCCCTGTTTTGATGTTCCTGCAGCCGCCCGTAACAAAAGGTTTAGTAATCCACTGCAAACCCATCACAGAGAGGATCCACAAAGCCTTCAAGGACCAGAATAAATACAAGTAAGATTTTCATTACCTTCCCACAAACACTTCAGCTGGAGCTCTTCAGCATCTCTTACGGGACCGGGTTAGTTATGCAGGCTCTTGTTCTTTTCAGATTTGAAATCATGGGCGAGGAAGAGATCGCTTTTAAGATGATCCGGACCAATGTCTCCCATGTGGTGGGGCAGCTCGATGACATCAGGAAGAACCCTAGGTTCGTTCAGGGGCTTTCATTCCTGTTTTTTGCGCACTTTGGGAAGCCTAATCTTACTTTAAGCCCCTTTTTTGGCCTACAGGAAGTTTATCTGCCTGAATGACAATATTGACCACAGCCATAAGGACGCCAACACAGTCAAAGCTGTACTAAGGGACTTCTATGAGTCAATGTTCCCGTTGCCCTCTCAGTTTGAGCTGCCCAGGGAATACAGAAACCGTTTCCTCCACATGACAGAGCTACAGGAGTGGTAAGAATTTAGTCACAAACAATCATTCATTGCATGTTTGTGTAGAAGACAGAAACTTACTTAAGAATTTAACTAAGACGAGTCAAACAGGTCTGTGTACATGCCTCAGGTTTCATTACTGAATCTGAAGCATGAACAGAACAGATCAGGACAGAAAGAGCTTTAATAGTTGAACAGAAATAGCTTTAATAGTTGAATATGAAACTGTAATGGACCGAATCGACATGAAAAATAAAGAACAAAAGTGTTTGAATAAAGGCATAGCAGCCATTAAACCTAAATAAAGAAGTTTATTATGCTTGATGGTAGTGTAAAGAGAAAAAATATCTGTCCACATAAAACACTGACTTAAAAACTGAACTGCAGCCAAAGAATCATTATTAAATCTCCCTCATGTTGTTCCAAACCTGCATGACTTCCAGTGGAACAAAAAAGGATATGCTTTAAACAGTGTTGTTATTGTTATTAAAAACATGTTCATTCATTGAAATAAAACTGAAATAAAATAAATCTTATTTGAAGAACTTAAACTCAATGAAAATCAGAAATGTAATTTTGTAAAAGGGCCCCCTTGTGGGTTTTGGCCTCCTATTTGAGAACCACTGTTCTAGAGTAAACAAAAAGCCAATTGGTTCTTGTAACTGAAGCCACATTGAGTATTGCAATCTCTCCTGATCAGTGTATGTGTATCTTTGTATGTGTCTTTTTTTGCATCACAGGAAGAGGAGCGTCTACAGAGTGAACTGCAGTATGCAGCTGACGGGTCGGCCACTGGACGCAGGTTGCGGGACACTTTTGCTGATTCACTCCGCTATGTCAACAGACTCTTGAATGCTCAATTCGGCTTCACTTCCCGCAAAGTGCCCGCCCACATGCCTCACATGATTGACAGACTCATCATGCAGGAACTACAGGACACGTAAGAGTCCCAACACATACACACAGACTTATGTATCAATTTAATGTTAGTCTATGGATACAAAATTTTGGCCACCGAAATTCAGATGTCTTCAAAAGTTCCTTGAGTATGAAAGTCAATTTATGCTTGATGGTAGTGTAAAGAGAAAAAATATCTGTCCACATAAAACACTGACTTAAAAACTGAACTGCAGCCAAAGAATCATTATTAAATCTCCCTCATGTTGTTCCAAACCTGCATGACTTCCAGTGGAACAAAAAAGGATATGCTTTAAACAGTGTTGTTATTGTTATTAAAAACATGTTCATTCATTGAAATAAAACTGAAATAAAATAAATCTTATTTGAAGAACTTAAACTCAATGAAAATCAGAAATGTAATTTTGTAAAAGTACTTTTTGTGTGCAAAGAAAACAAAAATAACGACTTTATTCAACAATTTGTCATTTTGGAGAGTATTTTGGAGAGTATCACATACGTAAACGAAGTATGCTGTTCTGTATCAGCAGCACTGTACGCGGATACGCTGTTTACGTTGTTTGCGTATATGATACTCTCCAAAATGGCGCTATAGGGTGATGAGGAGGAGACCAATTGTTGAATAAAGTCGTTATTTTTGTTTTCTTTGTGCACAAAAAGTATTCTCGTAGCTTCGTAAAATTACGGTTGAACCCCTGATGTAACATGGATTATTTTAACGATCTCCTAGCTACGTTTCTGAGCCTTGATCGTGTTAGGATCCTTGCTGTCTATGGGAGGGTCAGAGAGCTGTCAGATTCCATCAAAAATATCTTAATTTGTGTTCCGAAGATGAACGGAGGTCTTACAGGTTTGGAACGACATGAGGGTGAGTAATTAATGAGAGAATTTTCATTTTTGGGTGAACTATCCCCTTAAAATAAAGCGGAAACTGAAAATATACAAATAAAAACTATTTCAGAGAAATAAATGATACTATAATAGTGTATAAATACAGCCATAAGGACGCCAACACAGTCAAAGCTGTACTAAGGGACTTCTATGAGTCAATGTTCCCGTTGCCCTCTCAGTTTGAGCTGCCCAGGGAATACAGAAACCGTTTCCTCCACATGACAGAGCTACAGGAGTGGTAAGAATTTAGTCACAAACAATCATTCATTGCATGTTTGTGTAGAAGACAGAAACTTACTTAAGAATTTAACTAAGACGAGTCAAACAGGTCTGTGTACATGCCTCAGGTTTCATTACTGAATCTGAAGCATGAACAGAACAGATCAGGACAGAAAGAGCTTTAATAGTTGAACAGAAATAGCTTTAATAGTTGAATATGAAACTGTAATGGACCGAATCGACATGAAAAATAAAGAACAAAAGTGTTTGAATAAAGGCATAGCAGCCATTAAACCTAAATAAAGAAGTTTATTATGCTTGATGGTAGTGTAAAGAGAAAAAATATCTGTCCACATAAAACACTGACTTAAAAACTGAACTGCAGCCAAAGAATCATTATTAAATCTCCCTCATGTTGTTCCAAACCTGCATGACTTCCAGTGGAACAAAAAAGGATATGCTTTAAACAGTGTTGTTATTGTTATTAAAAACATGTTCATTCATTGAAATAAAACTGAAATAAAATAAATCTTATTTGAAGAACTTAAACTCAATGAAAATCAGAAATGTAATTTTGTAAAAGTACTTTTTGTGTGCAAAGAAAACAAAAATAACGACTTTATTCAACAATTTGTCATTTTGGAGAGTATTTTGGAGAGTATCACATACGTAAACGAAGTATGCTGTTCTGTATCAGCAGCACTGTACGCGGATACGCTGTTTACGTTGTTTGCGTATATGATACTCTCCCAAATGGCGCTATAGGGTGATGAGGAGGAGACCAATTGTTGAATAAAGTCGTTATTTTTGTTTTCTTTGTGCACAAAAAGTATTCTCGTAGCTTCGTAAAATTACGGTTGAACCCCTGATGTAACATGGATTATTTTAACGATCTCCTAGCTACGTTTCTGAGCCTTGATCGTGTTAGGATCCTTGCTGTCTATGGGAGGGTCAGAGAGCTGTCAGATTCCATCAAAAATATCTTAATTTGTGTTCCGAAGATGAACGGAGGTCTTACAGGTTTGGAACGACATGAGGGTGAGTAATTAATGAGAGAATTTTCATTTTTGGGTGAACTATCCCCTTAAAATAAAGCGGAAACTGAAAATATACAAATAAAAACTATTTCAGAGAAATAAATGATACTATAATAGTGTATAAATAAAACTAACATTCTTCAAAAACAGTATTTTATTGTACAGTTAATGGGTACTAGAACTTTCAAGCCTCAAAAATGTATTGATTAAAATAAAATGATTTAAAAAATTTTAATTGCACACATATGTACACAAAATGCACACAACAAGCTTATGAAGCCTCAATGAGGATGCAAAAATGCCATAAAAGGAGTCCAAATGATTTACGCACTATAATTCTGATGTCATGTAATAGCTTTGTGTAAAGAACAAACTAAATTTTCAGTCTTTAAACCTTTTTAAGTCTCACTTATTGCATGAAAAAGCAGCCGGCACATTGTTCAAAATATCTCCTTTTGTGTTTCATGGAAGAAAGCCATATGGGTTTGGAACAACATGAGGGCGAGCGAATTGAATCACCGATTGATTCATCCATCATTTTGAGTAAACTTTAAGCTTTCAAACAGCAGTGTTTACACCTGATGAGATTTATAACATGTCTCCAAAACTTTTCAGATCATTAGTCCCTGAATATAATGGTTTATTGGTGTAGAGATATATTTGGTTTTGTTGTAATGAGTTTCACAAGTCTGTTTACATTTAGCTGTGTGAAGTTGTGTGTGATTTATAGCCTGTTTCTGTTGCTTTACTCTTGTGAATACTGGTAAACGTTCCTTCCTGTCATCGCTGTGTGAAGTTGGGTGATAGCTGTCGACACCGTCTGGAATTCTGGGAATGGGGAGGTGGTTGAAGAAGGGTTTATGTATCTGTCGCTCCTTTGGAGGGTTACAGGCTGGAAATTATGACAAGTGCATTTGCCATTCATGCTCAACCAGCCAGAGCGGCTCTCTGTTACACCCAGATGCCCCATAAAGCCCCATCAGAGGCGTGTGACCTGAGGGCCAGGGTGTTATTTTTGGGCACTGCCAGGCTCGAGCAGCCCCATAGGATGATTTTAAAAGCTGTGTATGTGCAGATTGGTTCTGTCAGACACAAACACGCCGGTGACAAAAGGGTAACGGACTTGTGTTCCTCACAGATGATGATGTCACCTTGTCACCCTCTCACCTCCGACGGCCTGCTGCGTGACATCAGAACTTGAGTCACTGGGAACTGTCAGTCACAGTCTTGATAAATATACGGTTTTGAATCTGGCAAGAGTTAAGACAGCATCACCATTCCTGCCCATGTATACTGACAGCAGTGAATGAGCTCACTGTTACAATGCGGCCATGTTTTTAATGATCTATTTATTTATTTATATTTTCCTTTTTAACAAAATTGTTTAGTAATATTTAATAACTTAAGTCATATAACGTATCACTGCAGAGCTGCCTGTCAAGGTCAGTAAACGTACTTAAGTACTAGATCATTTAATATGAAATTAGGTCATTTGATAGTGATATTTATGAATTAAAATTTGTTTACAAAAGTTTTACCTTCAAAATAGATTTTAGAATCGAAAATAGATTTTAGAATTTAAATCAAATAGATTTACCTTGGAAAAAATATTATTATATATTAATATATTATTATCATTATTATAAGAAAATGATATTTTTGAACAATGATTGAGGTCTGTACACTATTAAAGGTGCTACTTTTTATTTAATAGTTGACTTTTTGCCATTAGTTAAAATTTTCTGAAATCGTGTTTGTTTTGATTTTGAATATCTCTAAAATATATTTCTTATTTAAGATTATTTTATATTAATACTTTTATTCAGCAGTGCTGCATAAAATTGATCATAAAAAGATTACAAAAGTTTAGGCAACTAACAGTAGTTTTACAAATACTGGTAAACGTTCCTTCCTGTCATCGCTGTGTGAAGTTGGGTGATAGCTGTCGACACCGTCTGGAATTCTGGGAATGGGGAGGTGGTTGAAGAAGGGTTTATGTATCTGTCGCTCCTTTGGAGGGTTACAGGCTGGAAATTATGACAAGTGCATTTGCCATTCATGCTCAACCAGCCAGAGCGGCTCTCTGTTACACCCAGATGCCCCATAAAGCCCCATCAGAGGCATGTGACCTGAGGGCCAGGGTGTTATTTTTGGGCACTGCCAGGCTCGAGCAGCCCCATAGGCTGATTTTAAAAGCTGTGTATGTGCAGATTGGCTCTGTCAGACACAAACACGCCGGTGACAAAAGGGTAACGGACTGTGTTCCTCACAGATGATGATGTCACCTTGTCACCCTCTCACCTCCGACGGCCTGCTGCGTGACATCAGAACTTGAGTCACTGGGAACTGTCACTCACAGTCTTGATAAATATACGGTTTTGAATCTGGCAAGAGTTAAGACAGCATCACCATTCCTGCCCATGTATACTGACAGCAGTGAATGAGCTCACTGTTACAATGCGGCCATGTTTTTAATGATCTATTTATTTATTTATATTTTCCTTTTGAACAAAATTGTTTAGTAATATTTAATAACTTAAGTCATATAACGTATCACTGCAGAGCTGCCTGTCAAGGTCAGTAAACGTACTTAAGTACTAGATCATTTAATATGAAATCAGGTCATTTGATAGTGATATTTATGAATTAAAATTTGTTTACAAAAGTTTTACCTTCAAAATAGATTTTAGAATCGAAAATAGATTTTAGAATTTAAATAAAATAGATTTACCTTGGAAAAAATATTATTATATATTAATATATTATTATCATTATTATAAGAAAATTATATTTTTGAACAATGATTGAGGTCTGTACACTATTAAAGGTGCTACTTTTTATTTAATAGTTGACTTTTTGCCATTAGTTAAAATTTTCTGAAATCGTGTTTGTTTTGATTTTGAATATCTCTCAAATATATTTCTTATTTAAGATTATTTTATATTAATACTTTTATTCAGCAGTGCTGCATAAAATTGATCATAAAAAGATTACAAAAGATTTCTTAAAAAAAAAAAAGTTTAGGCAACTAACAGTAGTTTTACAAAAAAATATTAAGTGACAACTATTTTCAACATTGATGCTAATAATAAGAAATGTTTCTTAAAATGTTTCTCACAATATTAATGGTTTTACTGTCATTTTTAACAAATAACCGCAGCCTTGGTGAGCATAAAAGACTTAAAAATAAAGCCTTTGCCCCCAAACTTTTGCACAGTAGTGTATTATTTTTTAGTATACATTATATATATTATATATTATACATTGACTCTTGTATTTCTAAAAGGCTTTGCAATTTCCTTCACTTTTGGAGTTTCACAGCAATAAATTCTATTCCTGGAGATCTATTCAAAACTTTTCTGTTCACTTCAGAACAGCAGAAAAACAAAAGGACAACCATTCAAAAATTGTTGTGTACTCTGATGAAATACATATTTTAGCTACAGTGCTATCAATGTATAATGATGCTTGTTGGATCCAGATTGTGTAGTTATAGCATCTAGCATGTAACAGGCTAACCAGAGTTAATCTTCTGTTTCACAGGCGAATATACAGGGACAAGCTGAAGTTCTGGACCCACTGTGTGCTGGTGACGTTAGTCGTCTTCACTGTCATATCGTTCTTTGCTGAGCAGGTCAGTTCGGTTCAGCTTACATGTTCATTGTCCACTATCTCTTGTTCTTCATTTCACTTTGTCTCTCACACACACACTGAGTTCAGTGGAGTCTGGCTAGTCTCATTACCTTTAGCAATTAATATATCAACTTTTACCCAGCAACCCTCTGTGTTCTTTTAAGGAAATGGTAAAGGCAAAAATATCATCCTGATGATTGATCAGCCAGGCAGCTTGCAGCAAATAGTCACACTATTAATTGTGGGGTCAGGTTTCTGTCTTTTGGAGAGGTTAATGGTCACAATGACCTTTTAAAAGACCAGTGTGTCTTCATCTGTCCTTAGTGACAGAACAGTAATGTGAACACTCACCAGAAGTACAAATATGGAGATGAAACATTATCAGCGGGTGCTTCCTCTGTTGCCGTACATGCATGTAGAGGCATGTCATGTTTGGCTGCGTCCTCATCTCTGACAGACTAGCACATTAACTGGCTTAATTACAATCTTCAGAACAGATTTACAGCCTCCTCATTAACTCATTTAGCCACATCCTGTTTCTCTTAATGGAGTTCCTGCTTGTATGCAGCACTAATTTTTAATCTCTAATCTCTTTTTTTAATGTATTGTTATTAGTTAGGGGTTCTGAATGGCCACTTGAAATGCAATGAAACCAATCATTAATGTATTAATTAAAAAATATTTTTGTTATATATTATAAATGGTTTATATTTATTATATAATTATATATGTATTATCACTAATCAATCTGATTGAATAAAAAAATAAATAGACATATTCAAAACTATCTCATTAATGTTTAAAAACGGTTCAATGTAATGATACATAAATTGAGGGAAAAAAGCAACATTTATGTATCATTTTTATGAGCATTTTACACACAGATTTTTCCATAATTTTAAATTGGGCTAAGAAAAATAAAAGTTTTAAGTTCACCAACCACTTCAACTTTAATCCACTTTATAAATGATTTGGTCAATGATTTATTAATGTGCTATTGTATCGTTGCATTTAACTATCATTTTAAACATTATTTAAATGGATATTAATATGTCAGTTTGAATTTCTATTCACAATTTTTTTTTCTATTCAGTTAACTGTATTTTCAAACATTTTAGCTACATTCTTATTAATGAATTAAAATACATGTTTAATTTTTTAAACCATTAAATATGGTTATATATTTTTTTAAAACATTTATAAAGTTGAAAAGTACTTTTTTTTAAATGAATAATAAAATACTTTTTTTATTTTTATTTTTAAATAGCACTTCTCCATACGGGGTGGGGAAAAAATCAGTTCACTGATGCATGTTTCTTTGTCAAACTTTTCTGAATCAATTATCAAAAGAAAACAGATATGTAGTGAATTTATAAAGATGAATTAGAATCACATAGTTACTCTGTGAATCTAAACTGGATACTGTTTAATTTCAGAATTAAGGTCTCTGCACACCGAGTCCGAATTTTTAGTCCAAAATTTTCACACGCTGAAAAATAAATACGACCTCACGTTGTCAATCACGTTTACACACTGCCTCCAAAACTTCATCAAGCATTTTGATAGGAAAGGATGACGAATACGAAAAAAACAGAAAAACGCATACGAAAATTTCGAACTCCGTGTCATTCCCTGTTTTGATCATATGTTGATCTTGTTTGTTATACTGTTTGTGTATCACGTGTCTTTCACAGGCGAATATACAGGGACAAGCTGAAGTTCTGGACCCACTGTGTGCTGGTGACGTTAGTCGTCTTCACTGTCATATCGTTCTTTGCTGAGCAGGTCAGTTCGGTTCAGCTTACATGTTCATTGTCCACTATCTCTTGTTCTTCATTTCACTTTGTCTCTCACACACACACTGAGTTCAGTGGAGTCTGGCTAGTCTCATTACCTTTAGCAATTAATATATCAACTTTTACCCAGCAACCCTCTGTGTTCTTTTAAGGAAATGGTAAAGGCAAAAATATCATCCTGATGATTGATCAGCCAGGCAGCTTGCAGCAAATAGTCACACTATTAATTGTGGGGTCAGGTTTCTGTCTTTTGGAGAGGTTAATGGTCACAATGACCTTTTAAAAGACCAGTGTGTCTTCATCTGTCCTTAGTGACAGAAGTACAAATATGGAGATGAAACATTATCAGCGGGTGCTTCCTCTGTTGCCGTACATGCATGTAGAGGCATGTCATGTTTGGCTGCGTCCTCATCTCTGACAGACTAGCACATTAACTGGCTTAATTACAATCTTCAGAACAGATTTACAGCCTCCTCATTAACTCATTTAGCCACATCCTGTTTCTCTTAATGGAGTTCCTGCTTGTATGCAGCACTAATTTTTCTCTTTTTTTAATGTATTGTTATTAGTTAGGGGTTCTGAATGGCCACTTGAAATGCAATGAAACCAATCATTAATGTATTAATTAAAAAATATTTTTGTTATATATTATAAATGGTTTATATTTATTATATAATTATATATGTATTATCACTAATCAATCTGATTGAATAAAAAAATAAATAGACATATTCAAAACTATCTCATTAATGTTTAAAAACGGTTCAATGTAATGATACATAAATTGAGGGAAAAAAGCAACATTTATGTATCATTTTTATGAGCATTTTACACACAGATTTTTCCATAATTTTAAATTGGGCTAAGAAAAATAAAAGTTTTAAGTTCACCAACCACTTCAACTTTAATCCACTTTATAAATGATTTGGTCAATGATTTATTAATGTGCTATTGTATCGTTGCATTTAACTATCATTTTAAACATTATTTAAATGGATATTAATATGTCAGTTTGAATTTCTATTCACAATTTTTTTTTCTATTCAGTTAACTGTATTTTCAAACATTTTAGCTACATTCTTATTAATGAATTAAAATACATGTTTAATTTTTTAAACCATTAAATATGGTTATATATTTTTTTAAAACATTTATAAAGTTGAAAAGTACTTTTTTTTAAATGAATAATAAAATACTTTTTTTATTTTTATTTTTAAATAGCACTTCTCCATACGGGGTGGGGAAAAAATCAGTTCACTGATGCATGTTTCTTTGTCAAACTTTTCTGAATCAATTATCAAAAGAAAACAGATATGTAGTGAATTTATAAAGATGAATTAGAATCACATAGTTACTCTGTGAATCTAAACTGGATACTGTTTAATTTCAGAATTAAGGTCTCTGCACACCGAGTCCGAATTTTTAGTCCAAAATTTTCACACGCTGAAAAATAAATACGACCTCACGTTGTCAATCACGTTTACACACTGCCTCCAAAACTTCATCAAGCATTTTGATAGGAAAGGATGACGAATACGAAAAAAACGGAAAAACGCATACGAAAATTTCGAACTCCGTGTCATTCCCTGTTTTGATCATATGTTGATCTTGTTTGTTATATTGTTTGTGTATCACGTGTCTGTCACAAGTTGCCCAGCAGCATTCATAACAGGTTTGGTTGACACTCCTTCCTCTTCCTTTTCTTTCTGTCCCTCAGCTGATCATATTGAAACGGTGGCTTTTCCTCAGACGCAGGGTCAGCAAGGATGCGACCCCCGAGCGGGTGTGAGGTTATTCCTCTCTCAGAGGTTGTGTTGTGAGAATATAAAGTACCATAGCTGTACTTCTGTTAATGCCGTCAGATAAAATTGCCCATTTGGAGGTGACTGGGTGAAGTTGATGAAGAAACTTCGAAGTGCAGGCCTCCTCCACAAAGGGGCATTAGTGAGACACACTGCAGCCCTCAAGGCAAGTGACTTTCTCTCAGCCTGCGATCACACTCCAGGTTGCGTATTGAATGTGAACTGAACTCAATGGCCCAAATTGAGTGTGTTGCCATATTACCTTACATGTTTAAATTGTATTAATTAGAATTTTAATTTATAAGGGAATGTCAAGGGTAAGGGTTGTTGTTGTCCTTGCAGTGCCTTTCTTTTCCACATGAATGAAAGTAGTGGATTCTAATGCGCGGCTGGAACTCTTGGCCTTGCGTTTGGCTTTTTTGCATTTGTCTTGATCTGTCACTCTTGCTTATTCCAAAGTGGCACAAAATCTCCAGGAGCATATTTAAAACCGAATAGCAATCCTGATACTTGTAAATTTGGGCAAGGATCATAAAAATGAGCCATTTCCTTCTCTTTCTCTTTTTAACTGCATGTCATTTTTGCTTGAAGTCCTTCACGTGATTGTCTCTTAGTGGGACATTAAATACTGACTTTGTCTGAAATTCAGATGCCACCGCCTGTGGCCCTGGTGTGTATTAATTAACTCCTCACCTTCACTTGTCTTTTAAAGGGAATCGTTTTTTGGCTTGCTCAAACGTTGCAACTACTGACCCCAAACCTTTGCATAATGCTGTTCTGGGATGAATTTCCCTGTTTACTTTTATTTATTATGTTAGAAAAGACATCATTGTAATGTACAAGCATATCTTTGTTTTATTTTGGAAATGTATGTTGCTAAAATTCTGTCAAAATACACTTCTTTTAGGTCTTTAAATTACACTGACAATTTACCACTTTTGTGTCAATTGTAAATTCAACCATGTGCCTAATTTGATAATGAAATAAGAACATAATCTGAACGCCGAAGTGTAATGAAACAGCCAAATATGTTAATTAAAAATCTTTCATGACTGCATTGATATGCCTTGTTGTTTTGAAATGTCATTGACTGAGTTCATATTTATTGGTCAAGCAAATGTAGCTGTTCCTGTTTGCTGTTATGCGTCATTGATTCTTGCTTCCAGAAGGAGGAAATGTAGCTAATATAGTATGAAAAGAAGACCCCAAAACACGTAAGAAATGGACATTAGATGGTGCTCTATTCAAATCACACAAAATGTATTGTTTTTATTAGCCCTTTGGGAGGAGATGATTCTAAGCAGGCAGAGAGTGCATCATAAAACAGGCACAGATCAACACCCCCCAAAATCCCTCAAAACAGAGCTAAAGGCAATGCCCAATAACTCTGTTTGTGCTCAGTTGAAGCTCTAGGAAGTGAAACATACAACCAGGAAGTCTGAGCAAACTGGGATTGGGTGACTAGGGAGGGGGTGGAGAGATGAGTCTGTTTTTAGCACACAATCCTTGACAATTAAGTTCTTTCAATTATTATTTTTGTTTTAAACAGGCTTGACTTAATTTCACACTAAATTGAGTCAGATTATTAAAATAAATACACTGTAATCACTGGACAATCACAAAAGGTTTACGTAAAGCTACAATGGCTGTTTGGGCAGTTTTCTTTTCTGGAGCTTATTCTCTTCTATAAAGTGTCACATCATCTACTAATAGCTGCTTTTTTATCAACATTAAAAATTCTGAACGGTATAAAAGGTTCTGTGGTGTAAACTATTTTTGGCAGTTTGGCGACTATATCAGGCCGAGAAATATGTTTGTAATACTTGCTTTTGTTGTATGTATCAAGATCAGACATATAAAAATGGGCCTAAATGAAATAATAGATATTACGATGTAGAAAATGGACTTGGATGCCCAAACTGCAGTTGTAGCTTCCCTTTTTTGTTAAAAATTGACAAACATGATCAACCCCCCAAAAAACAAAGTACATATCTACTGTGATAAATACGGTTGTGAAACAAACATGTTCCCTCTGTTATTTTTTGATTCTTTTGCTCATCTCTATCTTTGACCAAATTGAGGAAATGATTCTATGCAAATGTTTTTGGCCGATTCAAATTCAGCATTTGATTTCCCACCAATTTTCCTTCTTTATCCTTTGAAAAAATAATAACAAGTATTTCTAATGTGTTCCTGCACAGAATGAACTATTTCAAGGCAAGGGGCGCCCTCTGGCCCCCAAGGCCACATTTTGTACATTGTCTAAACTCTTTCTTTTCATCCAGTGATATATTCTAGTGTACAGTAGTGTGGTTAGAAAACAATACGAGCTGGTCTGGTCAAACCTGGCAAAACATTCAGTTCTGTTAGTCTGTGATGGTCACATTGTCAAGGCCGTTGCGGTTTTGGTTGGTGGGGCTCTCTTGCTCTAGTTTGAGAAGCGGGACAATGTCTTCATCCTTAGATCCCGCTTCCTCCTTCCGCCGGGCAAATTGTCAGTCTCTATGTGCGTGGCCCTGTGGGGTGATACTGAAAACCCGGATTCGCAGGTGGGAGGCGATTTGCAGGCACAGGCCTGTGCAGTAACGCAGCAGATCCACCAGGGACAGCACCTAAACATGGGGTTGGAGCAGAGACAGACTTGTTTAGTTTTGACTCCGAAAACATTTTGCTATATGGTGCATTTGAAAACGCAGTGGTTTGACCCACTAATGGTTGTGGCTCACCATGGCGATCCAAAGCACGATGTGTTCATCAATGTAGCTGTTGAAATACTGATTCAAAAAGAGGAGTCCAGGACCAATGAAGGCTGTGTCAGGAAGATGAAGCTCACTCTTGGTCATGTGGGCCACCTGTAGAAGAAAGCACACCTGATGCATTTTGGATAACCGTTTATGTAAACGATGAAGCTCATGATTGCAAGAGCCAAATAACAATTTTGACTTCTTATATAGGCATCAGCAGCACTCACCACCAGCTTATTCGAGATCTTGGCGATCACCATGCCAAATGTAAGGACGTAAAGGCAAGGATGGTGCTCGAAAACCTGACTAGAGGACTTTTTAAAGATGATGAAGGCCAGAGAGAGGATGAGGCCGATGTGTAGACCAGGAGACAATACACTGGTGTCCTGAGGAAGACGTGCACTGTTACTCTATCACCCTAAAGAGGTCACTTTTTTTACTTTGCCTTACATTAAATCTGGTAACTGAGCTATCATAAGCAGAAGTGTGCCAAAAATGTGACTGCAATAGGACTCAATGCTTTTGAGGAACAAAAACAACTACTTTGAAGACCTCACTGCTGGAAAGCACTTACTGCAACGGTTGAGCCGTTCTTGCCCACGCCACCGTTCAGGATGACGTAGAAGTAGTTATAGGTTGAATACAGAAAGCCACCAATAATGCCGAGGATTGGAAAGGTTTGCAAATCCACACCAAGAACAGGGACCTGGGTGAAAGAATGAGAAATCAGTGTCTTTAATATGAGAGTAGCTGTTATTTTGTGTCTCATGTGAGCAGGGGAGCTGGGAAGGGGCAGGGCTGAAGCTCTGAGCATGCTTTATAAAATGAGGAGAGGTTAGAATAGATTCATGTGCGTGTTGACATCTGCTTTTTTTTTTTTTGGCACGTCTATGGGTGACTGGTAGCCATAGTAGCAGTTTTTACCTATATTTACCTTTTCACAGTCTGTTCGTCCTCAGAGAGCAAAAGACAGAACGTCTACTTAAAAAACACACTCAGAAATGGGGCTCTGACATGATTCACAGTTTTGGAGGATTTGAAAGTTCTTTTTTAAATAAAAAATATACAAAGTCTGTAGAACCCTTTTAAAAGAATTTTCTGACACTGTAACACTAGAAGCGCATGACTGCATGTCACACTGCAACTGAGGTTATTATATTTATATTATATTTAACATTAGAATGTTTTTATTGTGAATAAACATGCAAAACCCCCAAAACTATTAATAAAAAGATGTTATATTTACTCAAATGTATTATTATTATTATTATTATTATTGTTATTATTATTATTATTATTATTATAGTATTGTGTATAAACATAATAAATAAATAAACAAAAATATTAATAAAAGTGATATCTTCACTTAAATGTATTATCATTATTATTATGAATGAAGCTGTAAATAAAAAATACTAATAAAAGATTATTTATATTTACTTAAATGTATATTAATATTAGTTGTTATTCTTATTATATTTAATATTATAATGTTTTTATTTTGAATAACTATTAATAAAAAGATGTGAAATATTTACCCAAGTGTATTATTATTAATATTGATATTATGTTAGTATTGTGAATAAACATATAAAATAATAATGTGATATCTTCACCGAAATGTATCCTTCTTATCATGATGAATAAACAAATAAAAACTACTAATATAAGATGTGATATTTATCTTTACTTTAATATATGCTATATTAATATTATTTTATTATTCTTATTCTATTAATATATATATATATATATATATATATATATATTCTGCATGCATAATTATTATGCAAGTAAATAATATTCTGTTCGTATTTGTTTGATAAAAAGATGTGAAATCATGAGGAAAAAGAATTACAATATGTAATGATGATTGTATTGACAGCCCTAGCGTGCACATGGTTTAAAGCAACATTTTTAATTGAGTGATTTTTAATTAGTAGGCCAGCAACATCACAAGCTGACTTTGATATAACAGTCATAAGTTATTTAAATATACAGTGGGTATGGAAAGTATTCAGACCCCCTTAAATTTTTCACTCTTTGTTATATTGCAGCCATTTGCTAAAATCATTTAAGTTAATTTTTTTTCTTCATTAATGTACACACAGCACCCCGTATTGACAGAAAAACACAGAATTGTTGACATTATTGCAGATTTATTAAAGAAAAACTGAAATATCACTTGGTCCTAAGTATTCAGACCCTTTGCTGTGACACTCATATATTTAACGCAGGTGCTGTCCATTTCTTCTGATCATCCTTGAGATGGTTCTACACCTTCATTTGAGTCCAGCTGTGTTTGATTATACTGATTGGACTTGATTAGGAAAGCCACACACCTGTCTATATAAGACCTTACAGCTCACAGTGCATGTCAGAGCAAATGAGAATCATGAGGTCAAAGGAACTGCCTGAAGAGCTCAGAGACAGAATTGTGGCAAAGCACAGATCTGGCCAAGGTTACAAAAAAAATTCTGCGGCACTTAAGGTTCCTAAGAGCACAGTGGCCTCCATAATCCTTAAATGGAAGACATTTGGGACGACCAGAACCCTTCCTAGAGCTGGCCGTCCGGCCAAACTGAGCTATCGGGGGAGAAGAGCCTTGGTGAGAGAGGTAAAGAAGAACCCAAAGATCACTGTGGCTGAGCTCCAGAGATGCAGTTGGGAGATGGGAGAAAGTTGTAGAAAGTCAACCATCACTGCAGCCCTCCACCAGTCGGGGCTTTATGGCAGAGTGGCCCGACGGAAGCCTCTCCTCAGTGCAAGACACATGAAAGCCCGCATGGAGTTTGCTAAAAAACACCTGAAGGACTCCAAGATGGTGAGACCAAGATATAACTTTTTGGCCTTAATTCTAAGCGGTATGTGTGGAGAAAACCAGGCACTGCTCATCACCTGTCCAATACAGTCCCAACAGTGAAGCATGGTGGTGGCAGCATCATGCTGTGGGGGTGTTTTTCAGCTGCAGGGACAGGATGACTGGTTGCAATCGAGGGAAAGATGAATGCGGCCAAGTACAGGGATATCCTGGACGAAAACCTTTTCCAGAGTGCTCAGGACCTCAGACTGGGCCTAAGGTTTACCTTCCAACAAGACAATGACCTTAAGCACACAGCTAAAATAATGAAGGAGTGGCTTTACAACAACTCTGTGACTGTTCTTGAATGGCCCAGCCAGGGCCCTGACTTAAACCCAATTGAGCATCTCTGGAGAGACCTAAAAATTGCTGTTCACCAACGTTTACCATCCAACCTGACAGACCTGGAGAGGATCTGCAAGGAGGAATGGCAGAGGATCCCCAAATCCAGGTGTGAAAAACTTGTTGCATCTTTCCCAAAAAGACTCATGGCTGTATTAGATCAAAAGGGTGCTTCTACTAAATACTGAGCAAAGGGTCTGAATATTTAGGACCATGTGATATTTCAGTTTTTCTTTTTTAATAAATCTGCAAAAATGTCAACAATTCTGTGTTTTTCTGTCAATATGGGGTGCTGTGTGTACATTGAGGAAAAAAAATTTACTTAAATGATTTTAGCAAATGGCTGCAATATAACAAGGAGTGAAAAATGTAAGGGGGTCTGAATACTTTCCCACGTACCCACTGTATATCAAATAAAATAGCAGTCAGTTCACACTAGGGCTGCAAGATAAATCGCATGCGATATTTAATGCACATCTTATCAGTAAAGCCGGTTCTGTAATCAGCGGTAAATCTCCATCATGTGCGTGCTTTCACATTGAGCAGCATGAACTACACCGAGCCGTTGTTCACTGACGAGCTGCGCAAAACCACGATCATATTTTGCGCATGTTTTGCGCAGCTTGTCGGTGAACAACGGCTCTGTGTAGTTCATGCTGCTCCATGTGAAAGCCCACACGTGATGGAGATTTACCGCTGATTACAGAACCGGCTTTACTGACTAGATGCGCGTTAAATATCGATTGCATTTTATCGTGCAGCCCTAGTTCACACAATATGATACTTGTAATTAAAATCATATCCCTGCATCAATTCAAAAACAGACACCATGTCCATCATTTGAAAGCACTTTGTGATTGGCCACAATGGACTCTTCCAGTGTAGACCGCTTCAGTGATTATAATGGGAGTGAATTTATAAACGTTGTGAACGAGAAAGAAGTTTCAGAGGCTTAGTGTGATGATAAAGAAGATGAATGACGTACCCTAGTCTCCCAAAGACTCACTCCTCCAAATGCTGTCATCAAATACATGATTATAATAGCAATCTGGACTTCTGTCACGTCAACCCTGCAGAAAACATTCGAAAATACAATGCAGTTAAAAAACATCACAGACAGGTTCAGTAAATTCACTCGAATAAGCCGTAAATGCACTCACAATCCAAAGCGGAGTGTCCCGGACACGTATGTCTGCCAGTGCGCGCAGAAAAACATGAACATGCCCACGAAGCCACAAAAAAACGTCCAGTTAGGGTAAGCGCCGATCCCACAGGATATACACGTTCCCACGGCAACAAACACTAAGAGAGCAATCCAATTAGTGTGTTGTTAATGCATACTATATGTACAGATGTTAATAAACAACAAACGGCTTAACTGCTAATCAATAAAAATATTAGCCAGTGTCCAATAAAAAAAAAACTTAAATATGATTATTGTAAATATATAAAAACTAGGTTTTTTTTAACAGATTTTGAATGGTGAGGTGCTAGGTGGTTGTTTACTAGGCCATAACAAAAGACGTTTCTTACGAACACTAACTGTACGTGTTAACATTAATGATGCTTAACGAAAACACTATTAAATATTACTCCCAACCAAATGGCGAAAGGTTGTCTAGCTGGTTATACCTGTAGAAACGGCATCACAGCCATGGTCAAAGAGCTCACCAAGAGCTGAGCTGCTATTGGTCCGTCTGGCCTGCTTCCCATCAATGGCGTCCAGTGATTGGTAGATGAAGAGACCTAAGGCGCTGAGAAAGAAGGCCCAACCTGGAGCCTGGAAAGAGTAGATTTGAAAGAAAACATAAAGGCCAGTACATTGACATTGATCAAGACTAACTCAATAAGACCTGGTTCTTCTTGTTTGACTGGGCTCAAAGTCAATGAGGCATTATAATTTTTCAAAATCATGTGAAATGCTCTTTCTTGAGATTTGTTTGCAGTTTCTTTCATTCAACCACTCAAGCAAGGTCTTTTGTGCCAAGAGAGAAAACAAAACCTTAGACTAAAACTTTGACCTCTAACTGTAGATATGGATGGCTTGTATTTTTTTGAGCGAGACCGAAAGGAAAACTTATCAAGGTTCACAAATATGGACACAAAGGAGCTCTTTTATCTCCTTTCCTTTAATAGATATGGTTATCACTGCAATTTTGCCATAAATTCGTTTGCTTTAGAGAGGCCATTTAGCAAAGAAGCACTTCAGCCATACATATTTTTCAAAGGTAACTAAGCAGAGTGAGAATAATCAAATAATGTGTAAGGAAGGAAAATGCACAGTAGCTACAAATGTAAAATGATTTAATTCCTTTGAGGAGTCTGGTGTAATTGCCTGCCCTAGATTGTTGCATCCTTTGTTTTAATGCTCAGTTTTTTGCCTATCTAGGACTAATTTTCACTTATTAATTTCATACCTTTAAGACTTTGAAATTAAACTGGAAATATAACAGTTGGTATATTAACAGAAGTGTAATAGAGTAACAGATGTAATAAGTGTTAAAATATGACCCTGAATAACCAATAGGACATTTGTAATTGTGGATAAAGTAAAATGTGAAGGCAATGTATAAATTGTTATATCAAGGGCAGCTTGTGTGTGTGTGTGTGTGTGTGTGTGTGTGTGTGATAGTTTGATATGGGCAAAGGTCCATGTGGCCTAGTAGGTCGATTTCCCAGAGAGACTACATGCAGGCCATCTGGTTTCACTGCACATTCACAAAACAGAATAAACCCCCTGTGTGTTTGAGTTATCGCTTCAGTATTTTTTTTTCATTAAAAAACTACAAAAGGCCTTTAATGTATCAAATAATGTCCCTGTTAAGTCTGCTACTGTGAATGTGATTCCTAAATGTAGCAGGTTTTTTATTAGGAAAAGAGAACACACAATTTAATATCAGGCCTATGCAGTTACATTTCATGATTAATGACGTACAGTATAATTTACATTATATAAATATTGATGCTAGATAACAAGTTATCATTTGCATTGTACTGTTAGTTACTGAAGATGATGTGCTATAATTGGTTGTCAGATAAAATGTGGGCCTAAACAAGAAGTCTGTCATCAAGGATGCATTTATTTGATAGAAAAAAACTGTAATATTGTGAACTATTATTACAATTTAAAATAAAAGTTTTCCAATTTTAAAGGAATAGTTCACCCAAAAATGAAAATGAACATATGATTTACTCACCCTAAAACCCTCCTAGGTGTATATGACTTTATCTTTCAGACGAATACAATTGGAGTTATAATAAAAAATGTGACCCTGGACCACAAAAGCAGTCATAAGTAGCACAGGTATATTTGTAGCAATAGCCAACAATAAATTGTATGGGTCAAAATTATAGATTTTTCTTTTATGCCAAAAATCGTTAGGATATTAAAGGTGCACTAAGCAATTTTTGAAAAAAAAACCGCTTTTGACCGCAGTGTCGGACCATGTCCCAAAACACACTTGCAGCCAATCAGCAGTAAGGGGGCGTGTCTTGAATAGAGAAGAGGGCGCTCAATTTTAGTATACAGGACGGATATTAGCAGATCGACTAATGATAGAGAGAACTGGGAGATAAAAAAAGAGGAAAATATCAGAGGAACAAAACATTTAAAAAAGGGTTACGATCAGACAAGAGGTAGGACCCACGTAAATATCGGAGCAGCTTTCCAGCGGTGGAGAGAACTCAAGGAGCGGGAAGGCCTGGAATCGGAGGCCGAGGTTGTGTTGTTTCTTTGTGATTGGTGAGTAACATTGATTTTGCATTGTTTCACACAACTTATCCGTGCTGGCTTTTGTTTGAATATGCTTGTGTGTCATCTTCTCTTGTTTCAATGATTATCGTTGCCAGGGTTGTGTACGTACATGTGGGGCGGAGATATCAAAATAGGGGTGAGGTCCTGGTGGGGTATGGGCATGTTTGTTTTGGTGCTTTCAAATATCAACATTGTTTGGCAAAAATCGCTTGGTGCACCTTTAAGTAAAGATCATGTTCCATGAAGATATTTTGTAAATTTCCTACCATAAATATATCAAAACTTAAGAACTTGCGAAGAACTTAATTTGGACAACTATAAAGGCCATTTTCTCAATATTTAGATTTTTTTTGTTTGCACCATCAGATTCCAGATTTTCTAATAGTAGTATCTCAGCCTAGTATCCAGTAGTAATATTGTCCTATCCTAACAAACCATACATCAATGGAAAGCTTATTTATTCAGCTTTCAGACTGTGTAAAAATCTCTATTTCAAAAAATGTACCCTTATGACTGGTTTTGTGCTCCGGCGTCAAAATGTCCTGACTCTTCCAAGCTTTATAATGGCAGTGAATGGGGGTCAAGATTTTGAAGCCCATAAAAGTGCATACATCCATTATAAAAGTACTTTTGGGGTTAATATAGGCCTTCTGAAGCGAAGCCATGCGTTTGTGTAAGAAAAATACCCATATTTCCATATCCAAAATATCTATATCCATGCAAAACTTGATAAACTGTAATGTAGCTTCCGCTTAACTGTCTTACGCTCATTCACAAGAGAGTGGCATTCCAGCAGATGATGCTTCAAAATCTCGACCCGTATTCACTGCCATTATAAAGCATGGAAGAGCTAGGACATTTTTTAAAGGAGTCATATGATGCGATTTCAATTTTTCCTTTCTCTTTGGAGTGTTACAAGCTCTTGGTGCATAAAGAAGATCTGTAAAGTTGCAAAGACTAAAGTCTCAAATCCAAAGAGATATTCTTTATAAAAGTTAAGAGTCAACCACACCCTCCTAAAACGGCTCATTCTAACACGCCCCCACATGTCTACATCACTATGTGGGAACATTTGCATAATGCCGCCCAAATGTTCACGCAAAGAAAGAAGGCGCTGTTGCTGCCGCCGCCATGTTGTGGAGTCACCGTGTGTTTCCTTGTGAAAGCGAAACTACTTTGTTTGGCCTTCCAAAAGAGGACACGACTAGAAATCAGTGGTTAAGTTGTATTTACAACACTGTTCCAGAACAGTTCAACCCAAATATTCAGATGTGCTGCACATTTTATGGAGGACGAGGACTGTTTCCTGAAGTAGCCTAATGCGTCTGTGGCACAAAGGCTGTTTCTATAAAGTTGGGCAGTTCCAACTTTGCAAGGACAGTCTGGCACTTCTGACTCACAGCCTGTAAGTACATTTTTTATATTTAAATAATTTGCCAATGATGATTCAAACGCGAGTTTTGAGCAGTATAGAGTAGCGCTTGTTGTTTGTTGTTTCTCCGATCACAAATGCAGGTTTTATGTTTACGCAGCGCGATACGCAACGCGTAAAAAGACAGTATAAGTCATTATAATCAGTAATTATGTCCCCACTGGATGCAACAAATGCCTCGTTTGTAATGGGCTTTATTGGTTTTGTCTCGTCTAGTGATGTCCGGATCGTGAACGAATCGTTCGATTTAACAGGATCTTCTTAGTGAACCGGTCGAACCAGTTCACCAAATCGAACTGAATCGTTTGAAACGGTTTGCGTCTCCAGTACGTACTAATCCACAAATTACTTAAGTTATTCGGTTTATAAACGTGCCTGACACTCCCTCTGACGTGAAATAAACCAATATCCCGAGTTATTCAGTTACTCCTAACAGTAAATGAACTGCTAAAAGAGAACCGATGATGGGATGTGCACGAGCAGAGCAGCTGGACTGAGTCTCATCCTGCTGGGAGACGGCATCACAGTATGTTAACGGGCGTAACATTTCCGTCACATGCTTGAGGCATTCGGCCAATCACAACGCACTGGATAGCTGGCCAATCAGAGTATACCTCGCTTTTTTTAGAACGATGAGCTTTGTAAAAATCCACGCGTTTCAGAAAGGCAGGGCATAGAGGAGAAACAATAATGTACATTATATGGAAAATAATGTGTTTTTTAAACCTTAAACCGCATAAACACATTGCATTACACCAAATACACAACATAATGTTCTTTTTAGCAACGTCATATGACCCCTTTAATATAACTCAGATTGTATATGTCTGCAGGAAGAAAGTCATATACACCTGGGACCTTCATTTTTTTATCCCTTTAATATATTTTAAAAATTTAACTTATTCCAGTGATGGCAAAGCTTAATGTTTACAATAAAAGTATAATTACACGACTACGTATTAGGCTTATGAAAAATCCTCTAATTTGATTCTTAACTTTTTTAAAGGTGATAAAAGCACCCATAGCCATACTGTAGTAGTGAATATCAGCACAGTTGTGATTACCTATGGCCTTGTGCTGTTATTCAATACAGCAGCGCACTCTTCATGCAAATATTGCTTAATTATAATAACTTTATAATATTATTTTGTAATAACTGTATTATTACTATGGCTGCTTGACCAATTCAAGTGTCTCTGGGTCAAAGTTCACTCAAAGCCCTCTTTATCTGTGTTCCAACCTGACAACAGGTGGGTTAAAGTTGTGCATTTAGCAGCAATCTCCAGAACTGCATAGCAATAAACAGAGGAATCTGGACTTTGTCAGTGGACTTTAGACTGTGATTCTGGAAATATGACGGGGTATGTCCACACACACACACACACACACTGAGATATGGGGTCACAGTGCTGCCCGGAATCAAATACAGTGGGTCAACAGCTAAAATAACAAATAGTAATCTGCATAGTCTGCACAGTCAATAAATCTGATAAAGCAGCTGCTTACAGTGCGTCATAATACATGTCGTAACGTGAATCAATAAACCAATGTGCTACAAGAAACCGTGACCAGAAATGCACAAATATGAAGCCACGAAACGTTACTTGAGTGTATTTACAGCCTTCGTTCAGCACCACCGGAAGAAACGAGGTTCGAAATGTGATTGTTTATTTTTAAAACTGACGTGGCAGGGCATTTAAATAGAACGAAACACGTCACGCCGTCACTCAAAGTTCCACTCGCGTCTGAACTCACCTCCTCCGTGGCGGTGGGACTGTAATACACGAGAATGACCGTCGTTAATATGTTAATAAGGAGTCCAGTGATGGTCAGCGTGTTCGGCGCGACCCACGTCGGGATCTGCTGGACCAGCCAGTTCCAGTATATCTGGCAGGGCGGCTCGAAGAGAGAGCGACCGGCCGCGCTGTATTTGTGTTCCTCCAGGCGCTTGAGCTGGACAGCTGACAGCGACTCCGGACAAGCGCACTGAGGCATTATGATCGCTCTTTCGGCAGGGGCAATGCAATGTTTTGGTCCAAATTCCCAGGTGTCCACTTAGAAGAAGGCATTAGCATGCAGCGGTTACGTGTGGAGAGTCATTTTTGATGAGCGGAACCGACGGTCTCCTCCGTTCCTAATAGTTGAGAGCAGATAAACGGAGAGGCGCAGGAAACTGCGGTCCGGAAGAGGACGCAACCGGGACATTTGAACGAGTGCTGTACCGCGTCTGACCACCAGGCTTCCTGGGGCCGGTTGCATGAACTGCAGACTAGTCTTAAAAAAGTAGTCACCTATTTTTTCTTCTTCAAGACCGGTCATAACTTTTTTAAATTCAGTTACAAAAAGATAGATTGGTCTAATTCGAATATGAATGGTTAGACTGATCACCCCTTGTCTATTGCTAGTTGGTGAAATGTGTTCTTAAGACACAGTCTTAACATAGTGACAATGTTCATGCAACTGGCCCCAGATGTTGACGTTCTGATTTACATGACTGGAAGTCATATATGAAAATATACAAATAAAAGCAAATTAGAAATATTAATATATACCAACTAGAACATAAATAACACTGATTCCTGGGGCTAACCAGTACGCTGCTTGAGTGCTTCTCATTAATTTCAGATCATTATCGGATAGAACATTGACAAACCAGTCCTTATTTATCATTGTATTATACGTGTTTATTATGTTGAATATCATAACTGTTTTATGAGTCTTTGGTGTGTCTCAATTCCATGCCCTTTTGTAGTATAAATAGTGTGTTCACACTGAAAATTCCCAACAAAAAAGTGCAAATATCCAGAGGATGCAAATAATTAACCTAAAAATAAAACAAAAATGTCATCAGACATAATGACAAAATAACCATTTAATGTATAATGTGAAATTTAAAATGCTGTACAATTTGTGCACAAATGTTTATAGATAACTCAAATTCCAGTGCAAGGCCGCAAAAAAAAATGTTTTAGTATTTATTTAAATATATTTAGAAATGATTTCAACACAAATATAGATGGAGATGCAGTATGCAAACGTCTTTTGTGCCCAAAGAACAGTGTTGCCCAATCTTGCCGTCTGCATCAAAATAATATAGGCCTTTAAAACAAAAAAGAAACTATTGTTTTTCATACAGAGACATTTATTCAACTGTCATGCTAAAATGAACATTGTCATGTACCATCAAGTATCCTTAGACAAATGCAGCATTTTCTGTAACGTTCAGATGTCGTCTCATGTCTGATCTGGTAGTTGCACAGTATTGATATTGCATATCTAAGTGGATTTCAGTACATTCAGTAAAGAATGAAGGAAAGGGGCTGGGAAAACTCAGGGGGAAATCAAACAAGAAAAGAAAATAAAGACAGAAACAGCAAAACCCAGACTTGTGCTCATTTCGGACCACTCTTGTAAATTAACCACATTACCTTATCTGTAACCGTCTGCTCTAGATTTTCCACAATAAAATGTCTATTTGTGATATATTTTGAAGCAACCATCCAGTTGACTGAAGTCATGCATTTGAGTTCCAGTGGCATTTCTTAAAACACAGCTTTACATGATCGCAGTGTCAGACGCAGGGTTTTCTAGAACTATAGATCCATGTCTGAACACAGCATACCATGCCAAAGTTTAGACACATGTGTCATTATTTGTAGTAGTGACAGGGATTTCTGGGTAATCATTGGGGGGAGTCAGCCCTCAGATGGATCCCTTCTTCTCTGACTCTGACTTCTCAGAGGTCTTAGACTCGTTCATGTACTTATCAATGAGGTGTAAGGGAACGCCTCGCTTCATCAGTTCAAAGAACGTAAAACCTCCTGAAAAAGGGGAAAGATAGACTGTCAGAGTGGTGACACTGAAAACAATGACATTTTTAAATATGTATTTGTTCTTCGTAACATATAGCAGCCTTGAAAGTATTTGGACATGTAAGCCACATTTAAAAATGTCTAAATGCCTTTGCACTATATAGCAAAATATCACCTATAGTTATACTCATAAAAAAGACAACACACTTTTCAAGCAGATCATTTCACAAAAATAGATAAATTAATAGATAAACTAACATTCACCAAGACCTGTGTGAACTTGAGGAGAACTGACTTCAAACATCCAACAGAAAAAAAAGCTCATAAAAGTGAAAAGCTTTTTGTTTGAAGATCACTTCCCTTGTGAAATAGAACATTATTTTTACCATACTAAAAATAAATGAATAAATAAAATAAAAAAATTATATAATAAAATAATATACTTTCAAAGAATATATTTCAGTGTAAACTGAATGCAATGTTTTCTGGTTTTCTGAACTTTAACTACATGTTACTTGCATTAAATAAAAATTTATAATAGTAAATATGTATATTAAATGCAATTAGTTGAACGTAGTTGTGCTATATAATTTCATCTTTATATATAATTTCGTAATCACATCTGTTGTCTTTGTAAAAGTGTATCATTGAATGTACTGACAAAATATTCTTTAATGTAATTTCTATTGAAACTTTTATGAATTTAAATATATTTGTAATTACACATTTGTAAAGCTGCAATTTAATACATTTAACATATATTAACTTTAAATGTAATATTGAATAACACACAACAGTAAAAATTATAACCAAATAGTTTACATGTGTTTTAGTGTTATCAACACTTGAAAATAAGTGTACTTCTTGAAAGCACAACATAAGATTATTAAACATAATGATTAAAATCTACTTTAAAGTAAAATGTTTAATTACAAAGTGAACTGTTTAAAAAAGTACTTGTGTTAAGAAACACTCTCTTTAAGTACACTTAAGTGGGCTTTTATTTCATTATTATATTATCTGTAAGTATTTTTTATACATATACTTAAGATTTAAAGCACAGTACAAGGGCACAGTACAAGTTTACACTCATGCATTTTCATATGCAAAACCAGCCTGTAACTAATTTATATATGTAACAAGTAAAGTAGCATGTTACTTGTTACATTTATTTTGTCGTTTAATTAATTCACATTACTTTTTCTATTTATTAATTTATATTTGAATTTTCTCACCTACAAGAAGATTTATGGTTTTAAAACTTCAAAATAATGCTGGTAAATGAAAATAAAAAGTCATTTTTTGGTATAGTTTTTTGGTATGGACTATATGTCATTGCATGCAAATTATGTTAACACTTAATGTAACGCGTCATAAAGTTGCATTTCCAGTGTAAAAATGGCTGCAAGCCAAGCATAGTGCTTCCATTCTGGAGAAGAACGAGTCTCAGTTAGATGCTGTTGAGAAAACGTAACAAAAAAAGTAATTGAGCACATATTCATAATTAGTTTTTATAAAGAGTAGCGCAATATTGTAACATTCCCCAATACTGGTTGACTTTGTCAAAAGCATGCACAGTATCATTTCTGTATGGATAAAGCAGTTTAAATTTAAACTAGTTCTTGGAGTTCTTGTAGAATCCTGTAAAACGTTCTCGAGTCAGTAATATAATTCTTGAATTTTAAGGCATTACACACCAGCAAAGAGCAAAAGCAGGATTATTGGCAACCAAGGGATGCAGAATGAATGAAAAATAAGCTTCATATGCCCGAAACCATATGAAAGCTTACCTTGAATGAGAACAACACAGTAACTATTCCTGAGTGATGACTGGGGGAGAAAAGAAAATACGGATTAAACCCAAAGTTTACATGAGGGAGTTATATGTGCCTCAGGGTACATCGCTGACTTAGTCATTACAGATTTAACATGAAGGAGTTAAAGGACATACCACAGTCTAACGAGAGGGAAACACAGCAATATGGCAATGTATGACAGAGTATGAAAACATGTCAGCACATGATACAATATGCAAACATTGGCATGAAATCAGAGATTTTATCAGGTCCAGGATTTTTCACAGACCTGTTAAACAATGTCACAGTGTGTTTTGCAATCTGTTGCATTATGGGATGTGTGGTCCAGTGGCAGTGGTGAGATGAAATTGCTTTGGATTTGCTGCATGCTGTTGCAAATTCTCAGTTTATTCTAGTTATGCTGGAGTAACAAAATACTGAAATGTTCATATTTTGTTGAGAGAGGTCTTGCAGAAAGATGTGGCTGGAGACGAAAACAACGTCTTATCTAAATGTATCTACTGTATTTATCTTAAGTTTTTATTTTTATAATATTTTAATAAAAAAATAAATATTAAAAGGTAGAGATCAAAAGCTCAAAATAGCTTCAAATGTAAATGGCATTAACATGGCATTTATTATTAATAACATTTATTTTACTGGACATGGTAACTGATTGGGAGATATTTTTATAGTTTTTTTTTTTATTATTTTTTTTATTAAATCAGCCTGATATGATGTTTAACGATGTTAAGTCATCTTTAACCTTTTTATGGTAAGACTTTATTCTCATTAATGCTCAAAAACTTAATTACTGCGAGTGCATTAATGTGTTAATTAGATTGTAATTAAATACCTTAATTGAGAGCCTTAGTAATAATATATTTTAATATCATAAATGAATTACTTAAGTATTTATACTGTTTAAATGCCATGCTGGCATATTTGTCTATTACAGAAAAGAAAAGAGTCTTGCCATAATAAAGGCTTTGTTTGTTGTAGAAACAAAATATGACAAAAAGCTGCACAGTACCACTATAAAAAGTGCAGAATATGAACAAAAAGAATAATACATAGAATAAATATAAATGAAAGGGATAGATTAAGAGCACTGAATCATTTACCATATGGCTTCCAAGTTATACTTCCCCAGGAAATCCACAGAAGACACTGAGAATGCTCATATTACCAGTTTAAAAAAACTGATCTTGTGCATATTAATTGGTTGGTTGGCAGTGAATACAGTGTGTAGGTTGGTAAGGAACTCTTGACAGGCTATTCCTCTTCAATACAAATCTAGTATAATATGCTGTATTGAATCAGTTAATTAGCCATACAGTACATCCTCATAAAGCAGAGGTGCAAGATCCTGTTCCTGGAGATCTACCTTCCTAGAAAATTCATCTCCAACCCAGATCAAACACAATTAAACCTGCTAATTCCTATCCTCAGAAGCACTTGATAATTACAAAAAGGTGTGTTTGATCAGGGTTGGATCTGAACTCCGCAGGTAGGTACACAGGTACCCCTGTGCTAGATGATCATTTTAATGCACAGACTAACCTTTGACCTCTAGTTTGCAGTCCACCTGAGCCTCTCCGAGGTCATTGACAGCCTTGCAGGTGTAAACACCTCCGTCAAACGGGCTGGGCTTGCGGATCTCAAGTGTACACACACCCTGGTTGCTGAACATGCGGTAACGTGGGTCGTCTATGATGGTAATCTTGTTTTTCATCCAGATTACCTTAGGCTGTGAGCAGTAACATAGTATGAGAATGCAGTAAACAACAGATAACATTACTGGTGAAGAGGAACCAAAGCAACATCAACCCATCAAACACATGGAGTGAAAACTGCTACTCTTCTCACTCAAAGAGCTAAATACAGGTGTAAAGCCATGGGCACATGGTTGGAGCCCAGCAGAATCAAAGACTTTCTCATAACTTGTGTCAGCCAATAGGTTTTCATGGGTTTATTGATATTCATGCATATTTTTTTCAATATATGTCATTTTTTAGTCCCTTTTATCTGCACTTCAGATCACTTAGCAAGGATTGAGTTTCTTTGACCCTGTTTACACCTGGTATTAGCATCTGTTTCAGTTAACAGCACTAAATATAGATTTAAACAACGTCCAAAATGTTTTGTGATTTGATTACTCAAGTTATATTCAAAGGTTGTCAGAAACTCATGTGACCATGTTGCATTTGAATGCCAGTGCAAATTGATTATTTACCTATTATTATTTTATTTTAACATTATTAATAGTTATTATTTTACTTGATTTGCTTTTTTTCTTCATTCTGTCTATGTGTGTAGTACGAGATGGTGTTGTTTGCTTTGAAAATCCTTAAAATAAAGCATTTTAAAAATACAGCTTAAATGGAAATAAACAAACAATCAAAAAATTTGATGAAGGGCCATTTATACAAAGACTTATTCAATATTCATTTGCATTGAATAAAGTTTTTTTTTTTTAGGCGGCTCGGTGAAGTCGCGGTCATTATACTCTGGGATTTTCAGTTGCAACCCTGATTGAAGGTTAGAACGAGAGAAAGAGGAGTAGGAGGAAGAGTGAGAGGGGAAGGGAGAGTGGGACTTTGCATGATATGAGCCGAGAGCTGTATCATGGGGGAATTTCCCTTGTGTGATGAGGAAGAGACAACATTTATCATCAGCATTGGCAAAGCGTGACACACAGTCTGTTAAAGATATAATCTGCACTTGGTTATTGTCACTCCAGTAATTTGTGGCAAATAAACAAATCTTTGTGGTTGTAGCATATAGGGAGAGTATTATCAAATTTGTGAAGCTGCTACAAATTGCAGATCATAGCTTTGACATTCCAGTAAAGCCTTTAAAGCTCCCTTGAGTCAAAACTCAGACTTTACACCAGGGGTGCGCAATCCTGCTCAAAGCACAAACCTTGATTAGCCTTGATTAGTTCATATGCTAAACTCTGCAGGAACATGTCACAATTTCAATCAAGTATACGAGACTAGAATTAGTGTTTCCCAAACAGTGTTATTTTAGCGTTTACTATTACAGTTTTATTGATACTTTAAATTATCTTTCATTTTTATTTTTTCAGTTTTCATTTAAATTTTAGTTAAATTAAAAAAAAAAAATTCATCTAATGTTTAAAAACAAATTTTTTGCTTTGTTTCAATTAAATTGTATTAGTTTTTGTTTTATTTAACAATAACAACACTGATCCTAAATAATAATATGTTAAACAGTTCTAATATTTCTGTTGGATTATGATGTTTGCATTTGTGCTAAGAAGCCAATATATGACCCAACACACTTTGCACAAGTTGTACAAAACAATGTGAGAACTTTTTTTCTGTAAGCTGTGAATTTAGCTATTGCTTTCATACAATTGGTATACAGCAAGAGGGCCTGTGATATCAAGATGTTCCTGTCCTTTTAAATACTCAAACAATGTACAGAACTTTCTCATCACCAGCAACATACAAGCTTTTAGTGTGTATTATAGGTACAGTATTCATATTGGTACAAAGCCTTCATCTCAAGGAGCAGGACTGAACAACCCTTTTTTACACCATGTCCAGGGACATGCATTTCAATGAAAATCCAAACAAATATATAAAGACACACCAAGCAGGATGTTGATTAGTAAATTAGTGTTAATTAGGACATCAGCCCTCAGGTACAAAGGCTGTAAATTCCCCTGTGATTTCTCAAAAAAAAAAACATAATGCAGTTCCACATCAGCCAGGCCTAAATTACCTAAATTAAAGTAAAGCACATTTGTTAGGCTTAAGGCTTAAAGGGCTAGTTCACCCAAAAATGAAAATTTGATGTTTATCTGCTTACCCCCAGGGCATCCAAGATGTAGGTGACTTTGTTTCTTCAGTAGAACACATATGATGATTTTTAACACAAACCATTGCAGTCTATCAGTCGTATAATAGAAGGACATGGTAACAAAATCTATGAGAGTAAAAAAAACATGCACAGACAAATCCAAATAAAACCCTGCGGCTCGTGACGACACATTGATGTCCTAAGACATGAAACGATCGGTTTGTGCGAGAAACCGAACAGTATATCATTATTTACTTCTTATACACCACTATGTCCAACTGTCTGAGCGCGCGCACGGCATCCGGTGCATGAGGTGTGTATGTGCATGTTTTTTTTACTCTCATAGATTTTGTTACCATTGCCATGCATTATACGACTGATAGACTGCAACAGTTTGAGTGAAAAATCATAATTTGTGTCCTACTGAAGAAACAAAGTCACCTATATCTTGGATGCCGTGGGGGTAAGCAGATAAACATCAAATTTTCATTTTTGGGTGAACTATCCTTTTAAGAAAACTGCTGTAAGTGATTTCTGTACCAGTAGTGAAAGCACCACTACACTCTTAAAAATAAAGGTGCTTCACGATGCCATAGAAGAACCTTTTTGTCTAAATGGTTCCATAAAGAACCTTTAACATCTGAAGAACCTTTCTGTTTCACAAAAGGTTCTTTGGGGCGAAAGAAGGTTCTTCAGATTATAAAAAGCTAAGAAAGAGATGGTTCTTTAAAGAACCTTTGACTGAATGGTTCTTTGTGGAACCAAAAATGAAGCACCTTTATTTTTAAGAGTGTAGAAAAATAAGGTTTTCATTTCCATTCATTATTTTCTTACATTGTGAACACCATACCAGCTACAGGAATGCAGAAACACTCCCTCCAATAGTCCCGCCCCAAATTCACACCATTGGTCGAGGTTGGAAGAGAGCAAGTTTTCTGATGGGCTAAAATGCACAGATTCTATTTTGCTGTTTACCTTTCATAGCTTAATTCTCAGGACACCCGGACATTTTATAAGTGGTATTCCATTAAAAACAAAAAACAAACCAAAATCACTTACTGCAGCATTGAAAAAGGATTTAGACAAGCAGTTATTTGACAAAGGAGAAGAGCGGAGCAGAGCCTTACCTTCTTTCACGATCAGAGCACTGTCTTTAGTGGCAGTGGCACTTTCACTTAAGCCCACCATGTTCTCTGAGTAGATCCTGAAGAAATACTCGTTACCCACCACCAGATTTGAGATTGTGATGCAGGTACGATGGTAGTGCTCTATACATGTGTACCCCTCCTGTGACACACACACACACACACACACACACATGCTAATCAGTCTTTGTCCTCTTAAAACTTAAAATATTACAAATATTTTTTCAAAAACTTGTATATACTGTATATAAATTAGTTAAACCATATAGTAAAGTAAAAAAGCACTACTACATTACAAAATAATTACATTATTGTAAAAAACAGCAAATTATATATGTTTGAAATCAGTGTTGAATATGAGTATCAAAGAAAACATTTTCAGACCATTGTCTTTTTATCAGCTTTCTGAATGGTGTAGCCTATTATGGGTGCATTGCCGTTGTCCTTGGGTGGGTTCCAGTCCAGTGCTACATTATTCCCCCAGACCTCTTCGATCTTTACAGCCTGTGGTGGGCCTGGAAGATCTGGGACAGACAGTAAAAGAAAATGTTCAATGGTGCTTCGATGGAGAACATGGTGGACTAGCTTTACATCATGTATTTCTCAGAATTATATTTTAAATATCATATAGGATATTTCTTATTAATACTCTGTATTTTATCACTATTAGCAATATAGTTAGCATTAGCACAATATATTTAGCATTTAGCAGTGTTGGTATTGTTAACTAAAACTGAAATGTTGTTGTATAATTGAAATTAATCTGAAACAATATTATATAAATACTAATATTTATATAAATATCATTTGAATGTTAAATAAATTAGAAATGTCACTTTGACAATGAACTTAAGATAAGTTTAAATTGAAATACTAAAATTACTTAAAAAACTGAAAAAAATGTATAAAAATGGCTAAAATCAAAATAAACTGAAAAAAGTGAATTCAAAATATAAATAATACAACGTTATATAAATTATACTGAAATACACTGTCAATATTATAGACTTAATAAGACTTTCCTTTCAAAACATTTTACCGTTTTTTTTTTTAATAGCATTTTACTTAACTAACCGACTATCTGTATGTCCAGCATGGCCGTGTCGATATGATTCTCCACTTGTACGCTCAGTTCGTATTTTCCAGAATGCTTGCGCTCAGCTTTGCGGATGAACATGATGCTGTCACAATCTGAGTTGCGAATGCTGATGGTTTGGTCAATCGGCTGACCCTCCTTCAACCAATTGACTTTTGGCCTTGGTTTACCCTAAAAAGACAAAAAAACATTTTGAGGTTTTCTTTTGTGACCCAGAGAGGAGGAATTCGTTCGAGGGTTTGTTATCACTATCTGTTGACTCACCACAAATGGCACGACGAGGTTGACGACTTCGCCAACCTTTCGAATGTACGTCTGCTTCAAGTGTCGCGGTATGCGAATCTTAGGAGGCTCTGCCAAACAAACAAGAGAGCATTACTATAACCAGAACTGGCTTAAAACATCTTTATAACCATCAATAATTACTATTTATCTAAATTATATTTGCTATTAGTTTAAATACACTGTGAAATGTGGCAGCAGTCTCTCACCGATAACCTCTTTGACCAGTATGGAGTGTTGGGTTGTGCGTGGTGGACTGGCCCCAGCAGCATTTATGGCCTTGATACGCACCAAGATCTTGGCCTCTACTGGCAGACCGGTTATAGTGTACCTCGTTTTTTCAATCAGCTCTTTATTAGCAAGTATCCATTCATCAGCTGTCAAATACAGTATTGTATAAGCACAAAAACACATGAACACCCACCAGTGGAGATCAACTTATGCAAAGCATACAGTATATGTTTTTAGTCTTACTTCCTTCAATGCAGTATTCAACTTGGTAGCCATCAAGTCCAGCGGCACCGATGGCGTCTGGGGGTCTCCACTTCATGGTCACTGTGGTATCTGTGACATCATCCACCACCAGCATTGTCGGTTCACTGGTCACAGCTAGTAAACGTATTAAATGAAGGAAGTGATTAGTGTTGCTGAATACTTGTAAAATGTACAATGTAAAATGACTAGTGTAAAATTTAGTTATATAATTTCTTATTTTTATTTTTCCCTATTTACTTTTGATAATTGTACGTTTTTTCAGTTAATATTCTTTGCATAATTTGTTCTAAAATAATAACTGTAAAAATAAATGTTTCAAACGCATCCTTAGATAACGTGATTTATATTATTTCAATTTTTTTATCTATTTTTATTCACCTCTGTTTATTTCAGATTAATGTAATAATAAGTGTCTCTGAATGTTTTAGCCAATATTTCTGCAGATGTTTTTTCTGAAATTACTGAAATATGTGTGAAGTATAATTTTTTTCTCAAATTCAGCCTTAGATGCTTAATTTTTTCCGCATTTTTTCTCTTTTTACTTTTTAATTATGTAATAATTATGTAATCCTCATTTGTAAGTCGCTTTGGATAAAAGGGTCTGCTAAATGACTAAATAAATAAATATATTAAAAATAATTAGTGTTACTGCATGTATTCAGACAATATATTTGCATAATCTAAAACTGTAAAAACATATGTTTCAAATGTATCATTACATTAATATTTTCAGTTTTGTTTCTCAATTTTGTTAATTAAAACTTGATTCCCTCATTCACATTCAAGAGTGTTTGATAAACTCTCAAGACAATGTTTAAATGCATCCTTAGATGTTAATTCTTGTTTTTTCATCTCTGTTTGTATGGATAATTTTTTTCAGTCAATATTTTTGGCAGAATTTGTTCTGAAATAACTGCAAAATATATCTTTCTCAGGTTTACTCTTAGATGCATGAATTCATTTTTTCTATATATTTTTTTCTGTTTATTTCAAATAATATAATAATTAGTTTTACTGAATATTTACAGCCAATATTTACCATAATTTGTTCTGAATCCATAAAAATAAATCTTTCATTGCATACATACATGATGATTTCTATTAGTTTTCTCTATTTATTTTGATTATTAAAACTGAGCTTGACTCCCACATTCAAAAGTGTTTAATACACACTGAAGAATCTATCAAATCTATATGTTACACTATTGCCACTGTGACCCTACATTATTTGAAGTCAAGCTTTAGATCTTTCTGGTTGAAGGAACAATTTATCCAATTTACAATTTCTTCTAAATTGGAAATTTAAACATACATATCACAACAAACATACACATCTCTCATATCTCACTGGTATGTCATGAATTTCACAAGGGTTTCTCATTAGTCTAGACTCTTCTATTCTCACGCAACTCTTCATGTCTAAGCTGTGACTGAAGCAGAGACTGTGTCTGATCTCATAACATTATAATCCACAGATGGCTTGGCAGCCATTATAAAGTCGTACTCAGTATCTTCTAAATCTCAGGCCTGTCCTGTGGAGGTCACAGACCGAATGTTTTGGATGCTGGTGTGAGCACATCAACACATATTGCATAGGAACTCGAAAGGGAACGGAAAAGCTGTGGTGTCTCTGTAGTGTCTTTGTCTCACTTAATTGGATAAGAGTAAATGATCATACTGTGTGTTATGTTACATAACAGACACAGCGCTCATGACATAACTGATTTGAAGAGACACAAAATCCCATTGTTAATTCAGATGGGCCACAGGTGTACTCACCCAGGGGAATGAAAGGTTTGGAGGGTTCACTGGGTTTGGAGACGCCGATAGCGTTAACCGCAAAGATTCGCACCTCGTATGGCACACCTTCAATCATCTTTTTTGGCTCGAAGGTGGTCTCTTTGCAAAGGTCGAAGTTCAGCCTCATCCATCGAGAGCTCTGTTTCTTCTTTCGCTCAATAAAATATCCTGTGTTATATGTCAACAAAAGCATGAATTAACTGAATTAACTAAATTATGCATATTAATGTTACGCTAATAAAAGTCTCAAATTCTCAACTGCATATTTAAGGGGGTAATTTTTTATAATTCATTTTTTTATCCACAGAGATCTACTTACAATGCTAAAGTAAAGTTTTGAGTTCTGAAAGTTATAGTATGTCTTATTTCAGAAGATTAGGGAAATTTTGATTTATCACAATGTGATTGATGATTCCAAAGTAAAGTGATTTTTTAAATAAATTTTATTACATTTTGACAGCAAAAGCTTTTACTGTGTTACAAAATATTTCCTTTTTTTTTTTAATGCTGTTCTTTTAAACTTTTTATTTTCCAAAGAATCCAGGAAAAAATGTCCACAAAAATATTCTGCAGCACATCCATTTTTAACAATAATAATAAGAAAGTTTCTTGAACACCAAATCAGCATATTAGACTGATTTCCGAAGGATCATGTGACACTGAAGACTGGAGTAATGGCTGTTAAAAATTCAGCTTTGTTATCACAGTAATAAATTCTATTTTGAAATATATTAAAATAGAAAACAGTGATTTTAAATGTAATTATATTTCACAATATTACTGTTGTCACAAAAAAAGGTAAAGTCATTTGAAAAAAACTCAAAACCTAAAATTTGCAGGTTCCTAAATTATCAATATAATGATTTTTTTAATGCACAGGAAGTTGATTTACCAAGGATGGGGGAACCACCATCATAGCGTGGCAGCTCCCATGTCATAGTGCACCAATCTCCACCCACATCAGTAACCATAGGAGCCTCAGGGGGATCTGGGATATCTAGATCAAACAAAATATGGTACGATTTACAGTGCCATCACCCAAGCAAACATTGTTTTTTCAGGGTAAAGTGTCTTACCTACAACTTTGATTTTAACACTAGCTGTGTCTTCTCCAGCTTCGTTCTGAAGGACGATCTTGTAGTTTCCGGTATCTTCTCTTTCTGCGATATCAATAGTGAGGCAAGTGTGATCTGCAAATGTCTCTGCACGAACCCGATTTCCTGAGTCAAGAATGACCTGAAACAACCCATGAGCCCAGTTTAATGCAGATGTTATATATTTCTTTTCTTTTTTCTTCAGTCATTGTTTTTCTACTCTCTACTCACCCGTTCTCCCTTCATCCACACGACTCTGGGTGCTGGTTCTCCACTGATAGGGATCTCCAGCCGGAGTTTGTTTCCAGCCACAATGGTCACCGTGTCGTCCGGGACATTCAGTGCCTCTAAATGCACCCTGGGAGGATCTGCAGAGTTGACCCAAATGACATTCTTTGAGAGAGCTTATTAGCATAAATATGATATGCATTCGAGAAATTTTGGATTGTTGCTGTACCTATAATGTGCACTTTGGCAGACAGCATCTGTGTGTATCCCTCAGGAACAAAGGTATAGTCGCCGGCATCATGAATAGTGGAGCTCTCAATGTCAAGGCTGTGATTCCTGTAAGTTGAAAAGAAAGCACAAATGAAAAAGAAATTTATGAAAGCCCATTTCCACCACAGAATTAAAAAAAAATAATAATAATAATAATTGTCTTTTTATCTCTAACTAACTTATATATTACAATTCTGACTTTTTTCCTCACAGTTCTGGGTTGCGAGAAGTAAAATGATATGTCCGACTGGTGAGATATATACGGTGGCCAGGTAGTGTGCAACACAACGAAATCTCTTTACAACACAACACACAGGACTCATTTCATTGTGTTGTCTAATTCCTCTGTGTTGGGATTTGTTTCTGTTATGTTGTGGCTTGTTTGCATTGTGTTGCGCTAATTTCATTTTGTTGCGACTTGTTACCGTTGTGTTGCGCTAATTCCATTGTGTTGCGGATTGTTTCCATTGTGTTGTGCTAATTTAATTTTGTTGCAACTTGTTTCCGTTGTGTTGCGCTAATTCCGTTGTGTTGTGGCTTGTTTCCGTTGTGTTGCACTAATTTCGTTGTGTTGTGGCTTGCTAATTTTATTGTGTTGTGGCTTGTTTCTGTTGTGTTGCGACTTGATTCCGTTGTGTTGCGGCTTGTTTTTCGTTGTGTTGTACTAATTTAATTGTTTTGCAACTTGTTTCTGTTGCATTGCGTTAATTACGTTGTATTGTGGCTTGTTTCCGTTGTGTTGTGCTAATTTCATTGTGTTGTGGCTTGTTTCCATTGTGTTGCGCTACTTCCATTGTGTTGGGGCTTATTTCCATTGTGTTGTGCTAATTTCATTTTGTTGCGACTTGTTCCCGTTGTGTTGCGCTAATTCCATTGTGTTGTGGCTTATTTCCATTGTGTTGTGCTAATTTCATTTTGTTGTGACTTGTTCCCGTTGTGTTGCGCTAATTCCATTGTGTTGCGGCTTGTTTCCATTGTGTTGTGCTAATTTCATTTTGTTGCGACTTGTTTCCGCTGTGTTGCGCTAATTCCGTTGTGTTGTGGCTTGTTTCCATTGTGTTGTGCTAATTTCGTTGTGTTGTGGCTTGTTTCTAATGTTTTGCGCTAATTTTATTGTATTGCAGCTTGTTTCCGTTGTGTTGCACTAATTTCGTTGTGTTGTGGCTTGCTAATTTTATTGTGTTGTGGCTTGTTTCCATTGTGTTGTGCTAATTTCGTTGTGTTGTGGCTTGTTTCTAATGTTTTGCGCTAATTTTATTGTATTGCAGCTTGTTTCCGTTGTGTTGCACTAATTTCGTTGTGTTGTGGCTTGCTAATTTTATTGTGTTGTGGCTTGTTTCCATTGTGTTGTGCTACTTCCATTGTGTTGGGGCTTATTTCCATTGTGTTGTGCTAATTTCATTCTTTTGCAGCTTGTTTCCATTGTGTTGTGCTAATTTAAATTTTTTGCAGCTTGTTTCCATTGTGTTGTGGTAATTTCGTTGTGTTGTACTAATTTCATTGTGTTGTGAATTGTTTCTGTTGTTTTGCGCTAATTACTTTGTGTTGTGACTTGTTTCCGTTGTGTTGTGCTAATTTTGTTGTGTTGTGGCTCGTTTCTGTTGTGTTGCAACTCGTTTTCGTTGTGTTGCGGCTTGTTTTTCATTGTGTTTACTAATTTTATTGTTTTGCAGCTTGTTTCCATTGTGTTGTGCTAATTTTGTTGTGTTGTACTAATTTCATTGTGTTGCAGCTTGTTTCCATTGTGTTTTGCTAATTTAATTGTGTTGCGTCTTGTTTCCGTTGTGTTGTCTAGATTTAAGATTTAAATCTAGATTAAAGACACATCTCTTTGGCCAAGCATTCAAATAATGCATCTCATAATCTTTTACTGCAGTTATATCTAATCAAATGCACATTATTATTCTTTAGTTTGGGTTATACAAATAATTTTTGCATGGTTGGAACAGCAGCTACGCTAATTATGTTTGTATTTGTTTCTCTGTTTTTTGCCACGGGATTAACATCCCGTGGTAACTAGGACTTAATTCTAATTTGTTGAGATAGTGAATTGGTGGGTTTTTGTTAAATGTGAGCCAAAATCATCACATTTAAAAGAACCAAAGACTTAAACTACTTCAGTCTGTGTGCATTGAATTAATTTAATACACGAGTTTCACAATTTGAGTTGAATTACTGAAATAAATGAACTTTTCCATGACATTCTAATTTATTGAGATGCACCTGTATATATATATATGTCCAATATATATCCATCTATATACAGTATATATATATGTGCAGTATACTACTGCGGCTTGTTTCCATTGTGTTTTGCTAATTTCATTGTGTTGCGGCTTGTTTCTAATGTTTTGCGCTAATTTCATTGTGTTGTGGCTTGTTTCTGTTGTGTTGCGAATCGTTTCCGTTGTGTTGCGGCTTGTTTTTCGTTGTGTTGTACTATTTTTATTGTTTTGCAGCTTGTTTCAATTGTGTTGTGCTAATTTTGTTGTGTTGTACTAATTTCATTGTGTTGCGGCTTGTTTCCATTGTGTTTTGCTAATTTCATTGTGTTGCGTCTTGTTTCCGTTGTGTTGCACTAATTTCATTGTGTTGCGGCTTGTTTCCATTGTGTTGTGCTAATT